ACCCACAAGTTGGAGCAATTTTATCTTCTACATGCAATGCAAATGTTAAAAATCCGATGATGATTGTGATTAAGTTCAGACACTGAATAATTTTCAGCACATTGGCTAAAAGGTTAATAAAAAATCCTTTTGTAGTAGTCTGTAAATACTAAAAAGGGGGATGGGGTTTTCAGGCACCGTTAAAGTGCATTACATAGGTTTTGGGGGAGTGTTAGTTTAGTACAATGTAAAGTATAAATTTTTTTAATTTTTCTATTTTGCAACAATCTTTAAAGTAATTCCTTTTATCTAGTACTTTAATAAAACACTAAAACATTAACAAATTAAATTTGTTAAAAATATAAATGAATTAAAAAACTTTGGATGCATAAATTGTTACAATAAATGGAAATATTTTTGCATCAGTGGAATACAAAGGAAGCAAAATTGGCAATACTAATATTGCTAGGCAAATCTATTATGCACATCGTAAAGTTTGCCTTTTTTTGATTACACATACCAGAAACTTAGTGTGTATACATGCAAGTTGTGTTGTTCTGTGATTTGAAAGTTTCTAGTTGGTCAAGGAATGAAGCTGACTTGGGAACATTTCCAGGAGATGATGCTCTGTGATTTTCAGTGTGGATTAAACCAACAACATCAATTCAATACCTGGTGGTGAAGCACCATCAAAAACAACTGTATATCAATGGTTTAGTGAATTCAATCATGGCTGTCAATTGCTCCTTGGCAAATTTAAAGGTCGTCCAAAATCATCTGTTGTGCCAGAAAACATCAATGCTGTGCATGAACAGATTATGCAAGTTCTTCATGTAACATACCACGAGATGCAGGCATCCTTGGGCATTAGTATGATGAGCACACACATTTCTCCATGTACATTTAGTTGTGAGAAAAATGGTTGCGCACTGGAGAGGGACGACAGACAGACATGGAAGGAGAGAGGGACGACAGGCAGACATGGAAGGAGAGAGGGACGACAGACAGACATGGAAGGAGAGAGGGACGACAGACAGACATGGAAGGAGAGACGGGGAACAGAGAAAGGGACCATGGACAGAGGTGGACCGCATTACTTTCTCGCATTGTTGGAAATCGTTAAGTAACATTGAAATACTGTAATTTTGGTTACACTAAAAACTCAAGTTATAATGTGAAAATATAAAATTCAATCAATTCAAACAAAGTGTCTGTGACACCTGTGTGTTTATTTTAATAGTCAGAATTACAAGTCCTTTCTAACTTTTACAAATGAAACAAATATCAATAAATTTAACTGTTACAGAATTCACAATATTTCACACGGGGTTGCCTTGATTATATCAAAGAGAGTTAACAATTTCTGAATATCATAATCAGTGATCAAAATGTCTTACAGTAAAAGAAATGTATTTGTTAGTTCTATGTTAAATATATTATTTCTTTAAATATACTTCCTTTCATAAGAAAGTTATCTACAATGACTACCGCCAATAATGACAAAAATCCTCAGAATGTCCAACCATCGAATTGCCATTTTGGGAATACACAAGAGTCAAGCAAAGCACAGGAAATTCAAATTTACAATATCAAATTTTTTCCAATTTACAAAAATACAGAGAATGCATCAATAATGGAATCTAGCACCCCTTCCGTCCTTAATTTGGATCCGTTTGAGAAAATCAGTGTTGAAAACTTAAAAATTGTGTTTTAAGCAAAATGCAAAAAAATACTTATATTTTCAAAAACTTGAACATCATATATCTACTAATAATGTTTTATTATATTTAATATTTCTGACTGATAACACACATCCAAACATTTAAAATCTTTTGATTCTTCTTGTTTATCAAGACATATTTGTTTTCTCAACTTGCTCTGTCAAAAGTTTCAAAAGCACTCGAGGATGTTCTCTCAGACTGTCCGAGCAACCTTCAGAAAGAAGTTTCAATACACATTAAGAATTAAGTTCTAAACATTTAGCTCCTAATCTTCTAAATGAATACAACAGAAGAAGAATTATTATTTAAGAATTATTCTTGTAATTGGTAAAATTTCTTATAAACAATTTTATCATAAATAATTAATAGTTAAGAGATAAGAAATAATAGTTAGCTCGAATTCTACATCAACAATTAATTTTTTTAACGTGTCAACTTTTTTCCCTGTATTTTATCTGGAATTGAAATTCATTTTCCAGAAAAAGGTCACCCTGATTTGATTTAAAACATTTATTTATTAACTCACAATTATTTACTGCAGACTTGAAGAAGAAGAGGAAGAAGAAGAAGAGGGAGAAGAAGAAGAAGAAGAAGGAGAAGAAGAAGAAGAAGAGGGAGAAGAAGAGGGAGAAGAAGAAGAGGAAGAAGAGGAAGAGGAAGAAGAAGAGGAAGAGGAAGAAGAAGAGGAGGAAGAAGAAGAGGAAGAGGAAGAAGAAGAAGAAGAGGAAGAAGAAGAAGAGGAAGAAGAAGAAGAGGAAGAAGAAGAAGAGGAAGAAGTTATTTGCACAAATAAAACAATTTCAAAATATTTTTTTGTCCTAAAATTTTAGCTTTTTACAAAAAATTGTACCAGATTGGATATTGAGAAAAACCATGCAAACAGCAAAGCACATCTATTAAATTAAATAAACTCATTTACAGAGATCATATTTGTATTTGCTGAAAATTAAATTTTATAGAAAAAGGACAAAAAAATTAAACATTAGAAAATTGGAGAAAGTCAACGTCATGTTCATCCACTGGCTTAAAATACTGTTGTGTATAACAGCCATACTTCCATTATTTAAAAAATGTTTTATTAATAATTAACATGATCACAGTAAATGAGATTTTACTGAAAAGTAACTTCTAATTTCCCTTGTCCTCAAAAGAGGACAGCCCAAGCTGAAATGCAAGTGAATTACAGTTGTGGCAGAAGCCAAACAAACGCAAATAATCTTTAATTATAACTTAGCAGTTGCATACCAATTGGGGAAGGAAGGAGGGGGATCCCAGCGCAGTTTTCTCTACACTATTTTCTCTATCCCTATTTTGTTTAGGTAAAAAGTTACTGTTTCGTTATTTTCAATTTTTATTATTGGAACCTTTCTGAATCTTTAGTGATACTTTCATCTTAATGCTTATCAAACATTTTCAAAACAATTTAAAACTGTTACCATGTGTAATTGTTCTATGGAAACTCCAGTGTACTTCTTCAGCCAGGCCTGCCCAAAAACACTATAAAACCTTATTTTGGTACCTGTTGATGTAGTCAACAGTGGTGCAATCAGAGAAACATGATGAATGTTATACTAATTCTACAAAAACTACATTAATGTATTTAATAATAAGACAGTCATAGCATAAGAAATTCTACAAAAAATATAGTCATGTGTGTCCTTGTCATTGACATTCCCCTGGGAAGGCATTGATATGCAACTGTTAAAGATTACTCAGGCACAAAGCAGTATTATGGCAGATCTACAGAATGAAAAAAGCTGCAGTTTAATTATATAAAAACACAAGTAAATACTAGAGTGGCTGTTATTTTGGCAAAGTTGACTTTAAGTAAGTAAGTATAAAAATAAAACACACACACACACAAGATGGAAGATAAAAAAAGGGAAGAAAATAAATGATGATGAAGATAATGATAATAATAATAATAATAATAATAAAATGAATGAATTTTCAATTTGAATAATCTAAGTCAGCAAAGATTTGAAATTTTGAATGGCAATTACACAGAGATTGAGACTACTTTAATATTTTCCACAATTTTATCTTGGAAATAGATATGCTTATGCTTGAGAGGTCACTGTGTACCAATACAATATCTAAAGTGTGGAAGGCAGTACATTTCACTTCCATTCATGTAGAAATGGGAGCCTGAAGATTGCATTGGAAAGCCATGTACATACCTACTGTAAAAACTGTCAACTATATAAAAACTCTTTATTCTGATGCTAATTCATGTACCAAGATATAAATGAACCAATATTTAAATTTACATTATTGAAGATAAAGTTTCACTGAAGTTCTTCACACATCCCAAAAGTCACCTTTGCAATCCATATCTTACTATTACAAAATTTGAATTATTGCCAAGTTCTTTAGTTACGGAATTTCAAATTAGTGTTTTAGAGATTCCTGCTTATTTTTTAAGCACATTTATTAATGATTCCAGAGTGAAGTAAAAACATTTCAACTTTGCCATTATAACAGAAATATTAACGGAGTAATATCCCAGTAAAGTAAATACAGTAGACCATTTGCACTTGGGATTTTTAAATTAAAGGAAAACCGAAGAGTAACATTTATTTTAAACTGTAAGAATTAAAAAAATATGTTTTTAAGTACTACTAAATGTTCGTTTTTAAGAAAATTTCTTCATATAGTGCATTATATTTTTCCTGTTAAAAAGAGTTTTGCATTTTTTGCACATCTTAACTTTACAAGAAATTGTGAGAAAGTGGCTCTCAATGAAGGGATCTGAAAATAAATATTTTTAATACTATACAAAATACAAGATGTGATTTGCATCCAAAGCTGAAAGTCCACTGAAACGTCCTCAACCATATTTATAATTAGAGCATATACAGTTCTATTAGATAACCAATTTAATACAGTTATCTATTTAGATCACTGAAGAAATTAAGGTACAACTGTACTATGGTACTAATACACTGTTACCAGTTCAATTTGTCATCACCTTGTGGTATCTCCAAAATAAGTAAAAAAGAATAGTTATAATATCTGAACAAATGGCCCAATTATTTTATCTGTAAATGGCATTGGACTCATTTTTAATAGAGAATTTACACTGTAAAGCCCTTTTCCCACACAGAATTGCCAGTCTTTTTTTCATACAGCTTTTTGTATTTTGAACAAAAGATCCTTAAGGCTGCTCCCTAAATAACACATGACCAACCAAAAGTTAACAAAATAGATTAGCTACACAAAACGATGTTAAAAAGCATTTGTCAAATAAAGACTCAGGTAACATTGATACAATCCTACAAAAACACAAAACATACTGACCTAGCATTTTACTGACATAGGGTTCTATGTCCACATCTTGGAGATGTTGGTAGGTATGAGCATGATACAGTCTCAACGTTGAATCCAATCGAATAGACACCCACACACCATCACCAAGCCATACCATTTGTCGCACCTGGCTTTCTTTACGAGGATGAACATCAAATGATTTCTAGAACATGTCAAAGAACATTATTAAGAACCTATAATCCAATAAATTATTTATTATCTGCAATCAAGAAATGAAAGCGGGAGCACTTCAGGATCTATTGACATTTTGAAGTGTAACTAAAATGTTGGATATAATCGACCACATATCTATTTTTAACACCTCAAATTTCCTTTACAAAAATGTCTATTGTAGTTTGTTATTTTTTATAAAAGCACTAGAAATTCACTGGTATGTTTAGTGAAGGTACAATTTCAATTGTCTTATAATGCTACAAATTTCCTGTTTGGCCTTATTTTTGGGGTGTATTAGTTGATTGACAATACTGTTTGTTTTGGTATTGGTGCCTTGACAAAAATAATATTCCCTTATTTTATTTAAAAAACACCTTTATCAAACTGGATATTTAACATTCAGCATTGCAGAGAAAAGAATGGAAAAGAATAGTCTTGTGACACCATTTTGGTTTAAATTCCAGATAGGAAGTCAACTGAATTGATAGGCTCCAATGCTGTCTACAGGGATTTCTTTTAACCATAAATGTAAAAGAAATAGTTAAGAGAGATTTGACTCAAATCTGCTAAATGTCATTGTGAGCATTTTCATTATATATGCACAGTGCCAACAAACACCTGAATGTTATTTCATAATAAATAATTGATGGAGATTATGCTGATAAAAATGATGACAGAGTTATTTGGATTGAGTTCTGTCCTGGAATTTAATCCTTTCACCTTGCATATTACTTTTATCTTCCAACATCTTTCTCTACAATCAGTGATATTCAAGGAATCTAGAATAGAGGTAGAAATGAAATGGCTTGCTGCGCATTACATCACAGCCCAGAACAACTTGTCTCTTACATAATTTGTTAATGACAATTTTTATTAATTCAAGATGTCGATTTACAGGTAATTTGAAGATAATTCAGTCACTTTTATCAAATACAAAAATTTTTTAAATTGCACCTCCTGATTCAACTAATTGTTTTTGGATGCTACCTATGGTCATACAACATTGTCATCAATAAAAACTTTCTAAAAGGATAATTATAGTTTAAAGTCTTTGAAGTTCTAAGCAGAAATTAGATGTTTCTCAAAAATTCAACAGATTTTTAAATAGAAAATGAATGAGAGATGGACTGTGAAACATGAGTTGAAGAAAGAAGGTCATTTAATGACAATGTCCACAACAGCACAAGATAAATGTTCATTATTTTTGTTTAGTTGAAAATATAATTTTCAAATGAAATTGGTGTTGAAAAAAATCATACCTCTACACTTAATGTGCGTGGATTCAATACATGAATTCTATTGCGATATCCACACCATACTTTTCCATGCACAGCAACCATAGTACGTATAGAGTTTGGTGGTTTGCCAAGGCTCACCAAGTGGTAACTACTTAGCTCCCACTGACCATCAAGACCACGTTGAAAAACAGCCACGGTACCATCTGCAATGGCAGCTAGAACGCGTCCCTGCACATGCCTAAAAACAATTTCAAAGCAGATAATTGTTTAGTTTTAAACACAAGCACAAAACTAAAACCCAATACAAAAAGGATAAGAACAGTCTGCTCTAAACCAAATTTCCATTGTAAATCATTTTTTTAAAATATATGATCTACTACCCATCTTTCTAGCAGTGAGCTTTGCATTGATTTTTAAATTAATATTTTTGAAGACATAAAACAAAAACTAAATTCCATTAAGACCAACAGTTATTAGGCCCTTGTCTCATGCAGAGGTAAGCCAGATTGCATGCAGTACATTGTAATGCTCCACGAAAAAAAAGCTCAATCCCCTCATCACTCAAAGCCATTTGCTTGAATAGATAAATATTAATTTATATTTAATAGTGCTACATCACATCTTCAACGTGACAATTTTACCCTACTATACGAACCAGAGAAAGTGTTTTCAAATAGCAAACATTTTTTACTGCACCAAGATTCAATCTCAGGTCCATCACGTTAACATGTCACCAGGAAATCACTCTGATGTACTTCTGTTGGCCGATGCTTAAGTCTACTTGCATCTCTCATTATTTCCAATACACAATTTTTGAAACTTCAACAAAAAGGAGATCTGCGCTAATCTCTTGTTTTCTTCTTGCAAAAAATTTTGAGTGATTTTTGAGATTTTTTATTCAAAATTGCAATGATTTATTATTTTTAATCTAAAAATGTTCTTGTCTTTACCTCTACTTGCACTGCATGGAAATCGAGACTTTTTTTTCAGAATAAAAATACACTACTTACACAATACTTAGAACTGAATCCTTCATTTTTACAGAGTGTATGCAATGACTCCACTGAGCCACTGCTGAATGAACATATATAGTACCATTTTGTGCACCTAACCACATTGTGGGTAATACACTGCTCATCTTTTCCAACTCTTCAAATGCATGTTCATTTTCTGAAACAGAAAATAACAATTAAGATTTATTTTTATTGGCTGAAGAAAAATTAAGTAGAAGGAAAAAAGAATGGATATAAACAAAAACAAGGATATATAGACACTTCTGAAATCCTAATATAGTAAGCGAGTTATCTACGTCTGTCTGCCACTCTTTACACCCCTGCCAGTACACCACCACCATGGCTCCTTCAGAATTGATCAATATAGCCGTGTCAATTCAATTCTCTTGTCTCAGCAAATCACACACAATTCTTAGCTGATTCCCTCTAGGAACTTATGGAAGAATTTTAGAAAAAAAGCATGTTCCGGATGGTTTCAATGCACCTACAAGAACATTGTTGAAATGATACGTACTCTCTTTCTGATATTGTTACAATTTAATCATCAAAAAGAATGATAATAATTAAATATAATTTTGTAATAAAACAAAAAATTATGAACTTGCAAAGTACAAATAAAACTTTTTAACATGAAAATACCTCCTGTAGGGGTCACACCAAAATATTACTAAGTATTCTTATACCAGTAATCAACAGAGTTCATTCTATGGTCAACAAAATCTAAATCAATTCTCAGTGAAAGTGCTATGTGATAAGATAACTAAAATAAAAAATGAATGACTATATCTTCAGTATTTAATGTAGTAGGAGAGGGTTTAAAAAGCTTTTGCAATTTTGGAAAATTCAGAGTTAATAGTGGAAATCAGACCTATGCCATGTTTATAAGTGCATTCTATTCTTATGCAGTCTATTCTTTAATAATAATAATAATAATAATAATAATAATAATAATAATAATAATAATAATAGAGAAATTTTTGAAAATGTCTGGGGCTTCAGTGAAAAACTCTCAAAGTGTAACGATCCCCCCCCCCTCCCAACATTGCAGGGCTTTGAGTCAGGTCAAATCGATATGAAAATATTAATTTTAGAAAAAATAGCTTAGGCACTAGTGTTGTTAATGAACAGAGGGCTGATGGACATTTGACAGATGGTTGAGTTTCAGCTGAATTGCATACTTTTCTTCTTAAACGAGCATTATTTCATATTTACATATTGTAACGACACTCTGGCTCTGAGAACAATGTGTTGAAGTTACAACCCTTCAAGGCTGGTAAATTGAACTACCAGGTTGTTAACCATGGCAGCGTATGGACACCAGAGAGAACCAAACGACCCCATGGGAAACAAAGAGGAAGTTCTACACACCAAGCCCTTGCCACCTTGTTATTTTTAAGCAGATCCATCCCGCCCAGTGTGTTCAGTGTTGAACACTCAACGTCACCATTGGTCAAAATGTTTCTTACACCCAAAAAGAAAGATTTTAACAGTCACCACGGTGCAGCCACTGACCACTGACAAATAGGGAGAGGGCGCCCTGCACCGCGCAGATGTGCAATTAACCGTACCCTAAAAATAAAAATAATAATAATAACAATAATAATAATAATAATAATAATAATAATAATAATGATGATGATGATGTAAAAGGCCGATGCATCCCCCAAGAGTACCTTAAAAACAACCCAAATGAGTACTTCTGGGTCCTGCTTCTTTGATCACAGGAGAGAAAGGGTGCATCCATCAAGCTTAAGAATCTGAGTGTTGCCACCAAAACTCCAACGGCAAACGTTGATGCTGAGCAATCAGACACTGGGATGCTTGCAAAAGAAGGGAGTTCCGAGCTTCCATGATTCGAGAGGCAGGGCCGCTAAGGCAGATGGTAAGAAATGATTAGATGAGATGGAAATTGAATGTGAGACCTAGTATCCTAGTTAATCTGAACAGCCTTACGATCTCCAACCCCTCTGTGATTCCCAAGATCTTAGCCAATCAATTCACTAGCATCTTTTTACGTGAAGGTACCGGTCAACCTGTCGATATAGCGCTCTCTCTTTCTCTTTCTCTCTCTCTCTCGGTCTCTCTCTCACACACACACACTCAGGCTAGTCTCTGTGATGTCCATTTCCCTGTTCAAATGTTCCAAAAGCATCTTACAGAAATTAATAACAAATCTAAGGGCCTTGATTGGATCCATCCTATCCTGATTAAACAATGAGCTTCCTCACTTTGACGAACCTTCGCTGACTTTTTTAAACTGTCCTTGAAAAGAGGTTGCCTTAGTAAGAAATAAAGAGTTTCTGGAATAGCTCTCATCCGCCATCATTCCTACACTGTAATGGAACGGTCGCACATAGCAGATGACGACACGAAGAAAATATTGTATTTAATTCAGAACCGCGCCGCCGTTAAGAGCAGCCGGAAATGCTGTTTCCTGCTTTACCTGTGAGAGCCGCTTAGCGCGCCGAGGGAAAGGACGAAAGCGCCTCCTTTGTTCGTCGCAACCCACGCCGGACGCGCCCTTGTGACGTATGGGGAAATACGCCACCGCACCCCCAAACCGAGAAACGGAATTACCCGCGCCTAGTTCTTAGAATTTAAGTGACGGAGGTAACTTCGCGGGAAGTTGCCGGGGGCGGCTTTGCCGCTGGCGCCGTGATAGGCGGAAGTATCCGCGGGTGGCGCGACAACCAATATACGATGCGGGGGAGGAATCACGTGACCCGTGAGCCTTCCTGTGGGACCGCCGAAATGAATCGATCACTTATTTCGGAGGCAGCAGGGGGATCACTTGTGTTGTGAGGTAGCCGCGACCTGACTTGTTTGTGAGGCAGCCGCGAGAACACTTGTTTTTGAGGAAGTAACGAGGCCACTTTTTTCCGGGCCTGGCCGCTCCGAATGCCACGCCGCCTCGCCACATCGCAGTCCGACTCGTGTGACGGAAGCCGAATGATGGGACGGGACACCACGAGTGAGTGCCTGACCGAAAGGACCATGTGAGTACGAGCCGGGGCGTGACGGACAATATTGCGAAGCGACCCGTCATCGCCCGGGCGTGACTGTCGACCGCCCGCGCGGAACAACGCTGAGGCGCCGTTCGGTCGACGCACGCCGCTGGCCTAATCCGGGACTGAGGGCAGCCGCCGCGCCCGCCGAGGGGCCGCCACAAAGGGACCTGGGACAAGCACCGGCCGTGGCTGGCCGCTGCCAGACCTACCGGGCGCTGGGATGCCCGAACGCCGCACCTGTGAGCTGGATCACGCCTGCCCGGGAGGGCGAAGACACCGGAGCTAAGATGAACTTTTACCATACCGGCCTTTTTTAAGTTCAGATTAGTTATAGGTTAATTGTAAGTTTGTTTATGTCACTGGGCTTCACCCGCACTGAATTCAAAAGTGATTAAAGTAGTATTAAGAAAATGCCTAAGTCTTTCTCTCCAGTAGTTAGGCAATCACGCATGCCTCCCTCTAGGGACTCTGTCGACGAAGCAGCCGGGCAAAGCTGAATCGTCGAAGGAATCAGGTAATCGGGTGTCGGTGGTTACAATACGCAAGAAAGGAGACATAATGGTAGTAGGAAATTATCGCCCTGTTTCAATGACCAATCCCTTCGTTTAAGTCATGGAAAAAATTGTTGTTGCCACAATTTTGGATTTCTGCAAGTACAACAATATCTTTCCTTGCAACCAACATGGCTTTCTTCCAGGCATGTCAACGTGCTCCAACATACTGAAATGTTTGAGCAACTGGGCCAAACTGCAAATAATCATCTTTATTTACTTCGAAAAAGGGTTTGATCAAGTCCTATATTGTGAAAAGTATTTGATCATGTCCGTGAAGGGTTTCTGTTCAAGCTCGAGTAGTTGGGTTCACAGGGTATCCTCCTATGTCAGATTACTGCTTTCCTACAGAACCGGATTTTCTGAGTGAGACCTGGTGGTTTTCTTTCCTACAAAAAGCCTGTCACAGCAGGGTTCCACAAGGTTCTGTCTAGGGCCCACTCCTCTTCCTACTCTTCATAACTGACCTCAGTAAGCTGATGGTATCCCCAGATTGGGAATTATGAGCTCACAGGATTTTAAGAGTTGTACGGACATTCAATATGCGACGTAAGTTCAACAGTCTCTGATATCTGATCAAGCACCTGATGCCTCAACTTTTCCATGACTACACCACTTAGGCCAATAATTGAATATGGTCACTGCATCTTGGAGTCATATTTCACCCAGGGCCTAACTCTTAGACAGTGGGTTGAGGAAATCTTCAAGAAACATTCCTGCCTTGAGACTTACCCTGCGAGACTTGAAGCAATCCACCTGTCAACAGCTAATAACCAGATTTTGCTGGGAGATTTCATTGGAAGATACAAAATACTAAATGACCACTACAAATCCTCAGGTTTCAATGATTTCTTCCTCCACAATATCAACTTCCACTTTGTTGTCACAATTACACATTGAACGAAAGGCAATTTTTTGTGCAATCCATACAAAGATTTTCCAGTTGAACAGAGTTGTTGATCCCTAGAATCACCTTCCCCCTACTAATGAATACAAATTGCATGTTTAACCATGTTTCTGAGATAATTATTTAAGTAGATTCAGTCTGTACATCCAACTTCAAAAGGTCAAACGTAGCAATACATGAGGAAACATTTGAATACACAGGTACATCTGTATATTCAGGGATTCAATCACTTGATTTTCCTTCATATTAACTGTTTTTGGTATTCATCTGAAATATCTAGTAATAAGCACATTATTGAGAATGTATGTGGCAATAGGTCAATTTTTCTTATATTGCAACTCTAGGTACATTAGCAAATGATGTAGAGAATGTGTTGTGATAATTCACAATGTAATTATTATAATTTTTGAAACATCTGTCAAAAAATCTGTGAACTCAACATTAGTAAAAGAGCTAGTCCTGATGGAATACCTCCCATTATTCTAGTTAATTGTAAATTTATTTTTTCATTCACTTTGCGAATCTTGTTTGAGAGACCGTTAATTGAAGGTAAATTTCCATCAGAAAGGAAATCAGCCTGTATCACACCAATTCAGAAAACCAGATCTAAAATTGAAATGTCAAATTATAGACCAAATTCCATTCTATGCACTACACTTTAACTTTTTTAATCAATTGTTACTGACAAGACTACGTCTACAATTATTCTGTTGATATCGATTAATCAATATGGATTTCTTACAATCATTTCATCCTTGAAGCTTTGGAGAAAAAGATGCAGGTAGACAGCATTTATATGGACTTCAGTAAAGCGTTTGACTCCGTTAACCACAACTTGCACATTCTGAAGCTTAAATCTTGGGCTATCAGGGCTTTTCTTGAAGTGGTACATTTCAGTTGTCCCACAAGATACCCACTTTGGTCCATTATTTTTTCTAGTTTTCATAAACGAGACATGTTCAATTATGAATCAAGTTGAACTCCTGCCTTCTGCAGATGATCTCAAGTTGTTAAAATGTGTAAAATCCGCAAATGATATTACAACCCTTCAAGATGGCCTATTAGCTCTCCATACCTAGAGCTTATCAAATAACCTTCCTCTGCAACCTAAAATATGTAAGGTTATCACCTTCTCAAGACTTCAATAATCTTGAAATCTCCTACTCCATCCATAACACAAATCTAGATCATGCCTCTTCAATTAAGAGACCTTTGAGTCGTATTTGATGCCAAAATGAATTTTAATCAACCCCTAGATATAACCATATAACTACATAACAGGTCCTTAAAGAAGATCGGTCTGATTAAAAGGTCTTTTAAGTAGATTAGGATTGTTGCTATCTTGAAAGCATTATACCTTTCCCTAGTTAGATCATGTCCTCTTTTTACTTCCATTGTATAGACACCCTACTTTGTCCTCCACATAAACAAGCTTGAGAGAGTTCAGCGTAAATTTTTCAAAAGCATATCATCCTGATCCATATTATTAATCCTGATCATACTTATTCAAGAATTTTATCTATGTTAATTTTAACATCTCTGAAATCTCTCAGAACATATAACGACCTTATATTTCTTTATAAACTTGTTAATAATAGAATCGATAGCCCGTTCTTGCTTTCCCAACTTATGATAGAATTCTGACAAGGCCCTCGAGGCATTTTTGGTCTTTTGTAATGAGAACTTTTCCCCATAACTAACAATTGGCCTTTAGGATCTGTAAAAATGTAAATTATCTGGATATTGATATATTAAATCCCAATTTTACTATCTTCATTAAGATTTTTAGAATGTCTATTTTTGATTTCGAATAACTTGATGCTTAGCTATTTGAAAAGATTCTCTATGAATTGCCTCCTGATCATGTAATTATATAAACTATTATTCTTATTTTTATAATGTATTAATATTATAAATTTTTGTGCCACCTTTATACTTTTATAACCTTTTGTATTTGGACCAAAAACAGTCCTTGTAGTGAATAAAAAAATAAATTTTAAGGAATTTAAACAAATTATACAAGACAATCTGGGTTAAATTGTTTAAGTTAAAAATCCTAATCAGAAATACAATACTTACCTTTAGGAAGCTCGGAGACACCATCTTTTACAACACCAGATACCTCTTTTACTAACCTACGAACTGGTGTGGTATCACCACTTTCACCTTCAGATTCAGAAGTAAGCAATGAATCTACACAAAAAACAAATTACTGTTAAAAAAGTCACCTATTCACATTTGAAAGTTAACTACATCAAGATGTTATTAATGATAAAACAATTAAGGATTAATTAAAGTATGAAAACTCTCAGAAAACAATTATGTTTTTGATGAATTATTAACTTGAATAGTCACTGAAACATTTACATCAGTACTATATTAAGATGAAAAATTGCACTATTTTGACAGACCAGCATCTACTGTAGTCATTGCAAAATATCTCACTCTCAATATTAGGAAATAAAGACCATCTTTAGCGCTTTAAAAACATGAAATTAAAAGCAAAATGTTTACCTTTATTACTACTGTTTGGTAACTGATCTGGAGCTTCACTGCCAGTAGCACAGCTTACAAAGGTTATCTTTCCAATATTTACATCATTATCTCCATCACCATCTTCCGATTCTTGGTTGTCTGCCTGATCAACTTTGACATCTTTCTCCTGCTCAGTCTGCTCCAATATAATTTTATTGTTCAGTTCTTCATCAGTACTAAGGTAATCACTTTCTTTAGCACCTATAATAATGTTCAAACCCAAAGAAATCAAGATGTCTAAATGAAACATCCAAACAGAACAAATTCTAGTTTTCAATCCATGGTGAAACAAAATTGTGACAAATGCTGACCTGGCACACTAGCAATGCACAACAATCTTGAACTGGGCACATTGAAGCTCTTAAGTATATCAGCAGGATTGTTGGCATCTATCACTGTCACTTTACTGATGTTGTGTGTGCTGGTGCAAATCCAAACTAGAGACGACAACTGCTGCTCCAGCTGTTCTCCTTCTCGTCTCAGCTTCTCCGCTTCCTAGCACGGGAACAAAATCAAACATTCTATTCTCATTCAAAGTGTAGGCTTCCGCAACCAGTCAATAGATATTTGACTGTCCAGGAGACATTGTGGCCTTCATAGTTTTTGGCTATCATACCTGTAACCTTTCTCTGATTTTTGCATGGCATTTCACCCTACGGAAAGTTGCAGATTGATGGTGGAAAAGTAGGCAACTGAATGTAGGATGCAGTGTTTCCCGAACAGCCATGTATCTATATCCATCTTTAGGTTTCATTTTTCCTTATATAGTCAATAATAGTGTATATTTCTCCAAATGTAAAAATAAAAGCTACCTTGAAATGACCGCAATATATTGCTAAAAAATGCACTCTCATTTGTACAATGAGGACATTTTGACAGTTGAAAAAGTCTTTAAACATTTCTGGATTAAAAAAGAACTATGGAATTAGCAAAGCAAATTTAACATCTAAGCAGAAAGGAATGTATTTATGGTAAAACATTTCAAAATTAAAAAAAAAATTTAATGTAGATAGTCTTTATTAAGAGTCTGACAAATGATAGAATAAGGAACCAACAAGGTTTTCTTACAAGGGCATTTTTGTTACACATATAGGTAAAAGAAATTAACAAAAAGTAATAACAACCCATAAATACTATGATAGACCCAATGGTACCGATGATTAAGCAAATTTACGTAATTTATTGACATTACTACAGAATACAGCCAACTTACAAAATATAAATTACTTACATGGCAGATGCTAGTCAAAATTTCTAACACACAATGAAAATGTGATGTATATAATAATAAATAAAAGTAACTGTAAAAAAATACATTTCTAGCTGCATTGATAAGTTGTTGAAGTGATAAATCATGATTTGCATATTCCCCAGAGCATTGCAAAAAAACCTACTACTTCATTTTGACTGTAGGTATAAAAAAGGTAATGTGGATGAGTAGATTATGAGAAGTTATTTTTCATAGAATATCATTTTCTAACAAATTATAACTTTTTTACCAGCAATATAATGTTAAGATTATTTGGAAATATGTATTACTGTAAAGTTTACTGTACCTTAAGTTCTTGATTCAATTTATCAATTTCACTCAATACTTTTTCTTGTTGCTCTTCTTCTCCTTTCTCTTCTCCTTCAGGGCGAGTATAAAACACACTTGCTCCTACAATACTTCCACCATCCCTTGTGCGACCTCCACTTAGGTTCACACCAGCCGCACACCAGATCTGCAGTAAAGGTAACAGCAGCATAAAAGTTCATAAAAAATAACAGAAAACAAATGTAAATTAATAAAATCAATATTCTAGTTATAAATACTGCAAGGTAAAGGAACTTGTTACTTCACATGTTACATTACACTTCATGAAGTAACACCACATATTACTTCAAATGATTAGTTTTCGTAATTGTAAGACAAAGTGCTAGGCCAATTTTTTTTTTTAACATATTTGACACAGACATTTTAAATGAATTATGAATACTTTTCATGACAGAATCTCCAAGCTTAGAAATTTGTATTTCAACTTTAGAAACAAAAAATGCCTTTTTAGGTGTAAATGATCTCGTTTTCAGAGTTTTTGAAATTATTTTTGTTATAAACCAGTTTATGCTACAAATCCAATTCACATCTTTCTCCCCACTAAGCCTGCAAGTGACTCACACAGTGTAAATTATATATAAGCTTTAAGATGCCATAAAACCTCTCAGATCCAACTGGATAAGACAATGCCTTTGTAATTAAGTATTAATGCATTGAAACTTCAGCAAAATATAGTAATAAAAAATAACGAGACACTAATTACATTTGGTACACAAGACAATGTCATAGACCACGCTTCTACTGCTTCTAGCTTGTGTGGCAAAAAGTGACTCAAATAAGAGTATTTGAGAACTGAACTCACTGTAATTATAAGTAATATTTTCCCTTTTTATAGGACACTGAAGTCTTGCAGATCTGCCCCCCCACCCTCAATTGTTTACCATAATAATAATTTCTGATTTAATTTAATGCTTTGGAACTCTTTGCAGCACATTTATTTACAAAGAACACTCAAAAAGACCATTTTCAAAGACTCCAAATACATTAAGACAATACACTACAACTACATAGGACAATAATACAGAAAAAGACGAGTACCTGCATATTTACCTTCATGCCAAGCTCTTTCTCCTGTAGTGGTCTACAGTATACAGGCACTGGCACTGGTACATGGCTAGAGCTTGTAAGTCGCGTAACAGATGACTGTTGGCTAACTGTATTTGAAGACACTTTTGCAGGAAGGCTCCAACCATAAGCTTGTAAGCGACCATCATCTTTGCGTACATGGGCTCTTACTTGGCGGTACTGTTCACGACGCTCAGTAGCACGTCGCTGCGCCAATTTTTCAGATGATCTGTAAGATATTTTAAATCATTTATATTACTTATAAAGCACATTTGATAAAAATTGGTTTCAAAGAAGTACAAGACATGCAAAGTTTTCCTTTTTTCAGCCTCAGGACTCGCACTTGGCCAAGTAAAATGTTCATAACCATTTAAATTCTTGCATTCAGATCTTAAGTTGGGCTCAGATCTACCCGGTAAACAGCCATTAAAATTGGTGACATATCTTACATTTCTAAACTTACTTTCATGTTTCTTCATATTGATTCTTGTATGTTTCCAACAAGGTATTTTAACTAACAAATTATGGAAGAAGAAATACTTTCTGGCTTACAAGATTAGTATACAGATGGACGCCAAGTTGCATAAGCTTTGAAGAACAGGCAAGCTTTTTTTGCTTTATTTATCTATGATACCCATTGACAGTCAATTATCGAAAAATGATATAAGATCATAGGCATGCTATGATCAGATTATCTCTTAAAAATACAAAAATTAATCCAAGGGAGTTTGCAATCAAATATAGTAACTTTTGTTTTCACAATATAGATTCCACTGCCAAATTGGAAATGGTACACTGGCAACTTTTGTAGACAAGCTTGTTTCACAAGTATAATTGCTTCGCTACATAGTGCTTTCTAGTACATTCATTCACATTACCACAATATCATTTATAAGAAGAAATAGAATATATTTCTTTCAACTTACATTTCACCATCGAGATAATCAAGACCTCGCTTCCTATCAGTAAGAGATCTTTTACGCATGCTCTCTAGAGCAGGCGCAACATGGTGAGTAGGAGCATTGTAACGAACATTCACATATGGTAAAGGTTTCCGTTGAGGCCGCTCTGGTGTACTAAAAAGGTTGCTGAAACTGCAAAGAAGCTAATTAATACAATGAGACAACAAACAAAGCAGAACACATTTTAATAGTTAGTATCTTTTCTGTAAACATCACATAATTTGTATAAAAATTACATTGATCCAAAAACTCAATATTTTTCTATTACAATTTTAGTAGCAATGACTTAGAGCATGTTCATGTAAAAAAAGTTACTTTTTAACTCAAATTTGAGTTCAAAGAAGTGAACAATAGGCAATTCTTAAATTTATTGAATTACTTGGATTTGACAAAAGAAATTGAAATGACTTTGTTAGGAGGATCAATACATTTTTAGTGGTCCAGAAAGTTAGCTGGCTCACAAAAAAAGAAGAGAGAGAGGAGAGAGAAGAGAGAGAAAAGAGTGGGAGGAGAGAGAGAGAGAGAAGAGTGGGAGGAGAGAGAGAGAAGAGTGGGAGGAGAGAGAGAAGAGTGGGAGGAGAGAGAGAAGAGTGGGAGGAGAGAGAGAGAAGAGTGGGAGAGACAGAGAGAGAAGAGAGAGAGGGAGACAGAGAGAGAGAGAGAACACACTTTGTGAAAGCATAGGAAGAAAATGATTCTGACTTGCACATGTTTTACTGTATTTACTGTAATTACGAAATTAACTAAAAGTAAATAATTACATGACAATATACAATGGAAAAAAAGAAATGAAAAAAAGAAAAGTCAGAAATATTGTTTTCAATAAATTAAAAAAATGTTTATAATCAGCAGAGTTTATAAAAGATAAAGAACTGAATTATAAGATGCAGCGATTTTTAGATACTACTGTACTTTTCATGTATCACTATTTTTAAATTAATTGTGAGTCAATTCTAGTTTGGAAAATACATTATTATAAAATTGTTAAAATTACATAAATAAGAAAATAAATATGTAAGTACTTAAATTGAAACCAACAGAAGTTTTTCTTTACACTCACAATTTCCATATACTTTGTTTACTTTTCTTATCTAATGTTGAGTCATTTCGTGAAGCACGTATCATTTCTGTCCAACGAACTGCTTCCTGAAGTTCCATGAATTTCTCCTTGTACTGGTTGCGCTCCATTAAGACTCGTGCCATTTCAACACGTGTAAATCGTTTACGTTGAGCCATAGGAACATCCTCCTAAAAAAGCAAAATATTCATACTGATAAATAAAAAGAATTACTGAAAGAAAAATGAGTCACAATTTGAAAAAAATAATTTGTGTACACTCATAATTTCTTAAGTCTATTGTAGCGGTAGATAAATATTTATCTTTCATAAATACTTTGGAATGAAATTTAAAGGTATTGTAAGTACCATCCAAGAATATGAAATACGACATACTTCATTATATCTTTCAATTCATAGATTTGACTTAAGTAACTGCTCCAAAAAGTAATAATAAATTCACAATGTGGCACAAAGTGCACTTTTCAGGCATTTCGAACACAAAATACATGCTTTGATATACTGTTTGACAATTTGCTAACACGGCATGGGCATCTGAATGGAAATACAGTTTAAAGAAGAGGAGTCATATCATAAACTGAGGGCACAAAAGAATGTAAAAGCAATTATAAGATTGTTTGCGATGGTGGAAAAACAAGAAATTTGTAAGATGTTGAAAAAGTTTGGAGTGAGCTGCATTAGTGTGACATTAGCATATGAACAGATCAATGCATTTAAAAGCACACAATGGTCAATTAAGTTCCAATACAGCCAATACAATTCTCTTAGGGATATTTAACATTACAAGCAGATGCCTCCTGACTGGATATGCCTCTATGCACCAACATTGTGAGAATTTGGTACTTCTCCGTAAGATTTAGTTCTGCAGTGATGCATAGAAAGTGTGAGACTAATAGCATAGAGTGCAGGAGACCACCTCGATTGTTGCCCTTGAGGGACTTGGGGGAATAACAGTTTTCTTGTATTCATCCAAATATCACATTATACTTGCATCTTAAGCTTCTAATTTATAAAAGTGTACACAAGTTCAGTCAATTTTTTACAACATTGAATGCACTATTGAGATCTTGCAAATGAATATTAGGATAGTTGTTCAAGATTATTGATACTGAGTTTGTTGTTTCAAAATGTGTATTTGATGAGTGCCGCTTCCTTAGTGTAAAGATTGATCATTTTGAAGAATATTTCTGTTGATCTCTGTTTGTGAACACATACAGTGGTTACAAGCTTATTAATGAAGGGATTTTGCAATGTTATACATAAAAGTATGTGTGACAATTCAAACCACAAAACCTTTTTGTGATAATTGTCATTATTGTTACCTCTTCTCCTGCTACTACTAGTGAAATGGGGCCATCAAATCAAATTTCTCAACAAAGTAAGAATATATTCTCATTTTGTGCATGATTTACATCCTTGGGTTAGTGAAAATTTAGGAAAGTTCCCCAGAATTCCCAAATTATTGCCTCAGAATAAAAAAAAAAAATCAGAATACAATTTTATACAAATAGAATATGTCTTAATAACAGAAGGTCCCAGGATTGGATCCCAGTGGGATAAAATATTTGCCCTTTGTGATAATCCACTTTCATTCATAAAAATCCCTTTTGAGTTGTGCACTATTGAAGAAAAGTTAGAAATTACTGAAGACTCATGACAACACTTCTACATTTGTTCAAAATATAAAATTAGAAAAAAGAGCATTTAATCATCAGTCAAGAATGATTTTTATACTAAATGTAAGTGACTATGTTGGTTTTTACATTAAATAGAGGTATGATTCAAAGACATCTGTTTTGTTTTCCGTGTATATTGCTTGGAAATAAGGCCACATGGACAAAGAGAGAGTTCAAAGCATAACCAATAATGAAAACAAAGATTCTATAAGTTATGTGCAAAGATTTAAAGCTTGTAATAGAAAGATCGAACAAGTTATCAGAAGCTTCACAAATCTACATAAAAACATTTTGCACTTAGCATTAGAGCAAAACAAACAACACATTTATTTAAATTACATTTCTGTTAATGAATGGAGTTGCAACCCACATTTTTGGGGGTCACTAGCTAACACATACTATTATTTCATGAGCATTTCAATACGTTGCGAAAGATTAATTAAAACAGGGCTAATTTTAAGAAACATATTCTTCAATACAGCTTCAACTTCATTATGTTTACATAACTATGTTATTATGTAAAAATTATACTAATTTGGTCTATGGCAGGCTACTAATTACAAACTTACTTCATCGTCAGATTTTGCTGCTTTTGCTGCTTTCTCAGCCTCTTCCTTTGCTCTTTTCAGCTCTTCTTCCAAGTCCTGAATGCGTTGTTTCAGCTTGTTCTTTAAAGTGTGTAATGATTTTATTTCTTCCCTTAAGATCTCTTGCTCACTGAACAAATTTTACATTTAAGTGCAAAAATTTATATTTAAGTGTTTAAAAGCAAAAATTCAAACCAGAGATATCAAAATCAAATCTTACCTTGTTAATTCATCAACTTTCACAATTAAATCATCTTTGACAATGTTCAGAGCATTCCTGCAACATTTTAATAAAAAAATAATACACATCGACAATCTACAATTCAATAATATCAAGAATGTTACATACTTAGTAGCGAGAAGTTCTGTATTCTCCAGAATGAGATTTTCCACTTCTTTCCCCATTCCTACAACAGTCATGAATCTTTCATTAAAACTCCAAATATTTGTAAAATATCACAGACTGAACAAAGAATCACATTTCATTTTAAGCATTCAACTCAGTCAATTATGAAATGCAAATACAAAATACGATCTATAAATTAAATTCAAAATGTCAACTCAAGAAGATTTTAGAATGAATATATTCCTTACCAAAGAAGTTGTCATTAACTGTGGATGACCACGGGGAACACCAATGGACCAGCCAAAAGAAAAAAAATTAGTTTGTTAGCAAGTTAGACAGGCAATGCAAAACATATATGCAATTTACAAATAATGCGCATTATGTCAAATCAGGCAAATTCAGTGAGTGAGTAGGTTCAGTTAAATTGCAATCATCAAATCATCAAGGAACATAAAATGGTATTAGTCAACAACCAAGATTCTAACCACCTCACTAAAAAAATGGCACAAATAAAAACAATTTCAATATTCTACTTCTTTACTTTTCACAAAATAGTAAAGTTAAATAGTCTACTCTAATACACTGAACAGTCATTTCAAGTAATTATTACAGATAAGTTAAAGAATTACAAATGATTTTAACACTGTTCCTGAAATCAATTTGGGGTATATTGTATCTGAAAATATTTTGTATTAATTTTGAGTATCATATGATCTTTTGCTTATTTTTTCCCTATTGTATATCCAAGTGCAATTTTATGTAAGAGTTGGATATATACTTTTCCCAATGTTTAATGATGTGAAATCCAACTCTCTAAGTCCTGATCCTTGGAGGAGGTCTATATCCTTAGTAGGATTCTGGACAATATTAACAATAACGACAATAATAATAATATTAACAATAATAATAATAAAGTACACATTGGGTATGTAAGCATGCATTAAGAATGAAGGCAACATTCCCAAAAAATGCAACTAAAATACAAAGTAGAAAATCCATTTTGTACACATGAGTGAAATGCCAGATTTTTTCCAAATATATACTAGTACTGTTACAACATCACTTACTTTCGCATATTATTGGTAATGGTTATGTGATATTGCAACTTCTATACAACTAACACTACAACCATCACTTGAAAAACTTCTAACCCAATGAAGCAAGAGAGCTTCAAAATACTACACATAGTGTATTTTCAAAACTTCAATAGTTTTAATGAAAATGGTACTTTTGTCACTGAAATCAGGGTATCCTGCTGTGTTCTTATTGAAAGTTTATTTTTGCTTTATTTTACTTCAGGCAGCAGTAATGCTTTATACAGTATTGTCTATAAAAGAAAGCTTGTTCAAGCCCTTAAAATCATCCAGTCAGAAATAAAATGTTGTTTCTGAGATAATCTTATGTTTTGTTTATATCATCAGAGAAGATACCCTCTTAGGTGGGTATTTTGTCATCTTCTATAGATGTGATACAGCTCTGGGTGACCGCATTGTCTTTGAATGAATTTATAATTTTCTATGAGGTCACTCCTATATCTTCTGACCACCAATGTGGTCATGTTTAAGTGACTTAGATGTTATTCATATGACAATTGTCTGACTTTCTGAGGAATTTTGGTGGCCTTTCATTGCACCATTTCTAATAATTGAGTATCTATTTTGCGGCGGCGATTGTGACGGTTAGCGTACCGGACTGTTATACCCAAGCTCGCAGGTTCAAACCCGATCGAAGCCGTGGATTTTTAGGGCGACAAAATCCTTCGTACGCCTTCCTTCAGAGGGAAAGTAAAGCCGTCTGTCCCATGTTGGTAGATTTACTTGCATGTAAAAGATCCTCAAGCCTAAATGACACCTCTGAGCTAAATTCAAAATCGCCTGTTTCTCGCCCAAGAAATACCTCCTTTCTCTGCTAGTTGATGAAAGGAGCGTAGCGAAATTTGCGTGGTCAGACGGAAGAGCGGGCCTGATGACCCGAGTCTCGCCACGTAAAAATAAGGCAAATTCAATTCCATTCAATTCAATCTATATTTATAAGAGCGATTGCTGTAGCATATTCCCGAATTGGTCAAATGTATCAGCAGGTTTTTTTCAGTTAGGCACTTAAAGCCTTCCTCTTTAAGGAACAGATTACATTTGGTCTTCTGAACAACTTTCTTGATGTGTCTTTAACGCTTCAGAGTATCGGTTATTAATATATCCATGTCCGTGTGGAAGTTAATAGGCTTTGGTCTCCAAATACTGAAGATTTAAGGTAGGTATAAGTTTCTCTTACTATTAGGGAGAATTGAACATTTATCCACTTTAAATGGTAATTCGTTTGATTCATCTATTCCTAATTTCTCAATTTACTACAGGGATTGTTAGGATAAAGAGGCTGGTGAAGTTATTAAAAATATGAAGGATACTATTGTTGAGTTGATAGCACGAGTTACAGAAGTTTATGAATTTAATGACCTTGAAGTAGAGGCTGCAATTAAAAATTGGATTGGAACACAACACAACACAACACAAATTTTGACTGGAAGAGAAAACAGGTCATCAACATTAGATACTAGGCCTAAGCATTCAGATCTCAAACTCTTTGAAAAAACCAAAGCTGTCAGTGAATTAAGTTCAACCACTTTAATTTTTGGAGATTTCATTTCCCCTCAATTGAATAGACAAAGAATGGGCAACTCTAAATAGCGACATAGAGAAAGAGTTCTTACATTACATAGAATTTTATCCAGATGTTTTCTTAATATAATCAACAAAGAATAACTCCCATACCAGCTGTACTAGCTAAACAGGTGATAATTGATGACAATATCATTAACTCTCCTATCCTCAGAATAAATATAGGCTTGAGCGACTTGGCCATTGTTACAGATCTTTAGGCTAAGATATAATGCTGATGGAAACAACTATGAAAAAAAGGAACTACTTTAGAGGTGTCTTTGCCATAACTGAGACATGCTTGGTTAAAAGTGATTTACTTAACACTGTATGGGATGTGCAGAGCACTGTGAAGACCTTGAGAAGAAGAGAATGTGGCATCACACAAAAATGTCTAAAATCATTCTTGCTTAGAGCCAGCCAAAAGGGATAAACTCTGGATCAATGCCAGAGCTACACAACATGCACGGTTGAGGTATAGGTACACATGGTTACTCCAAAGGACTTATATCTAAAGTGGGATCACATAGATGAATATATGAAGAACAAATTGTCTTAGACAGTGGAAAGGTATTTTACTTTTACAAATGACAGATGATGTATATAACAGATGGTATGTAAAACTGTACCACCTAAGATCATTCAAATTGTGAGAATGATTAACTAATCCATTTGAAATCACATAATGCTCTGCTGATTATTTTGAAGTGGTCTACGTATCTGAACCAGTTGATTAATTCCCAACTCTGAAAGATCAAAGCATTGAAAAACTACAGGATCTGAATTTTGCAGATGATGGAACTGCAAGGGTCATGACAGGATTGTGCGCCAACTTTTAAGCAGATCCACAGATGGTATTCCAACTTTACACTTTAAGAATTGCGCAACACAACTGGCACCATTTTTGAACAGTATCTTCAGGAAATCCTCAGAGATAGGAAAATTACCTTCTGTATGGAAGAAAGCAACCAAAACACCAATTTTAAAGAAAAGCGATTCACAGTCCTGTAAGTCCTACTAACTCAAGGGAAAGGTCATGGTGCAATTAATTGTCCAGAAGCTAGATGTCTATTCACCCAGAAAAAAACTATATTTCAAAATAACAGCACAACTCAGTTCCTTGAAGGTCAATAACAACTTTGATTATCTAGCTTGATGTATGGCCTTGGTTAATAGCTAACCCATGGGCACTACCTAAAATATGCACAAGTGTTTCACAAAGCCCCACACAACCAGCTACTTCAATACCTTAAATCTCTGGGAATATATGAAAAATTGCTCCAATGTAGAATATCTTTCTGGCAGAACTTTTAAAGGAAGCATTAGCAGTAAACTCAACACAGGCAGGTTGCTAGTAGAGCTTATCAAGGATAGGCCTTTGAATCGCTACTATTCACCTTTTCTACAAACAACTTCAGAGATGGACAACCTTATTGGAGAAGTAGTTATGTGTACACCTCATTATTTTCTAACCCACTAAGCCAATTCTCAGCACTATAATCTGACCTTAAACTGGAAAATGAGTGGCCAGAAACTTGGCTATTTCCTCTCAACAATATGCACCACTTGCAAGTGCAAGTTCTACATCCCAGGAGGAATTATCCACAGCTCAGTTACACTGTTGAAAGTCATTCGATTCTACATTGCAACAGAACAACCTTGGAGTTGATATATCACACGATTTGAAATGGGACAGTCAAGTTGCCTCAGTTACTAAACAGACCAACTCCACACATAATTAACATGCATAGTCACAAATCAGACCAACTCCACACTTCATTAGAAAATCTACCTTGAGCAAAATGGGCACCAGAACAGTTTGAAGAACCTCTTTCTTAACAAGAAGAAGAAGAAAATATTTTTCCAACTTGTGTCAGTCTGCAATACGGGAAATCCACATGACATTTTTCAAGCCTATGCTGGACTATGCACACATGATATGGTCGCTCCACTATTGAAGCGACGACACTATTTGCGACAGTGCAGAGAAGTCTCACAAAAATCATCCTATGAAGAAAGGTAGTCACGAGCTGTCTCTTTTGGTTGGAGTATAGGAGGAAAAGAGGATTGAAGGATTGTCTGATTTTATTTGCTCAATGTCCAATTGGCGCTAGGAATATTTCTCAATTTCTTTTACTTTGACAACATTAGCAAATATTGAAATACAGGATTAAATGTTGTGAGACAGATCACTTGTGTATAGTATAAATAAGAGGACTCCTTAACAGATCCTTGTGGGGCATACTCAAAATGTGTTTCGCAGTTAATAAAGGTTTGTCCAATTCAAACTTGAAAAGTTCTTCCACTCAGAAATGCTTCAATTCATGTTAAGAACAGCTTCTTTAAGTCCACAATGTATTAGTTTATGAAGTAAACTATTTTTAAAAGGGACTTAGCTAAAGACCTTTGAGAGTTACAAATAACATCTAGAATTTCTACATCCTTATTAGAAGTTCATGGGTCAAGGCATCAGACTAAGTTGATCATTGTAGATCATCTGGGAATGTCTCCATGATGTGGAGGAACAATAATGTTATTTCTCGAAATAACAACTCAATTTGAGATGTGAAGTCTCAAATTTTCTCCACTAAATATCTCTCCACTACCTTACAAAGATTCCTAATTAACCTGATGAGTCTACAGTTCTCAGGGTGTAATTTATTCCTGTTTTTTTGTTTCTTGTCTTGTGATAATTCACTGCTTCCCAAAAATTCTCTGAAGATATAATTGGGGCCAGCTCTCCGACACTTGACTGTATATAAGATAAGTGTAGAGATGCCATCACGTTGAGCATGATCCATCATCACATGATGAATCTAGACTTTCAGAACATATATTGTTTCTACATCTGAAATGGCTCTAAAGAGTGCCCTTAGGGGGAAGTTATTTGCAAAAACTTTTGTACTTGTATATGTATTGCTTTTTATTTGGTCATTAACCACCAATGTTTTTAGTACATTCACACTGGAATGACTTGTATTTGAAACATACAGCTGGTTACCTCCCTCTTCAGTGAAGGAGATGGATACCTCCCTCTTCTCTTTTTTCACAAGGGATCCTTGCAACGCATGTATCCCTAGAGGCCTCATTACATTATATAGTTCTCTGAAGTTTCAAAGATTTGGGATACTGCTACTTTTGTAGCGAGGCCAAGTTTATTCTTTCAAATTTTCTTCATTACAGTAAATGGGCTCATTGGCTTTCCAAAATTCCATTGTTGTTGTTGTTGTTGTTGTTGTTGTTGTATTACCCTGAAGTTGAATAAGTATCCAACAACTGAAGATGCACATGAAGACCCTCCCAGCATCATCATTCACATAAGAAGCCAATCCATTACTAATTTTATTGTAATCTGCCTTGTGAAAAAAAAATTCTAGTTTCATTTTGTTTTCATTTCAGTTGCCCACGACTAATTTGGTAAATTTGAAGAGAAAAATTGGCAAGGCTGGGATTTCACTTCAGACTTAATGCTTCTAAAGAGAGAACCTTACCTCTGCTCTGTGATACTTAAGCATTTCAGCTGCTAATATCTCCAAAAATGAATTTTTAATGTTGCAGTGATTCTAACACCTAAAATGCAAAATTGTCACAAAATAAAGCAGAATTACGCAAAAACTTCGAATACTTTTAAGAGTAGTGTAAGTATATAATTTTAAGATCTAATATTAAGGAATAAGTAGGATTAAGAAAAAAATATGTCATTAATAAAACAGTTGAAGAAAGATGTCCAAAAATTTTGAATTTATGCTATTGTTAAAAGTCCAAAGGTTTTAAACGTAAGTTGAACCTAGTTGGTTTTTTGTCTGCAAGCTTTACTCTATTCAAGCAAAATAATTTAAAGAAAGAATTAAGTGGCTATTCTTTAATATTATTTTTAGAAACACTTGTTTACAAATTTTTTGTGTACAAGCAGTCCAGATTTTACTACAAATGATGCAAAAACTACTTTGAAAAAGTTGTACATGACATTTTTTAAGATCTAATTTTGAATAACAGATTTCATTAAGAAAAAATATTTGATCTTTCATAACGTGGTTGTAGGAGGGAGACCACATAAACTTTTGTTATTTTCAGAATTTTTTGTATTTAAGCAATACATTCATGATTAGCACACACACACACTGAAATCAAATCTGATACATAGAAAGAAAGTTGGATCTAATTTGACACAACTTGCAACCTAGTAGCGAGGAGGATACATGGTGTAATGGAACTGGCCTTCAATAACCAATGACACTATTTTCATAGTGAATTGTGGTTGCAAATGCTAGAACTAGAAATGGTGCACTCTTTGGCCTTATTAACTGGGAGGGCCATGACACCTTAAGGGAGTGCCACTGGACTTCGTACTCGTGTGCCTGAGGCCTTGCTTTATGCATAGTTTTTCCCATGGGCAGATATATACTGTTACCTTTGCCTGAAGTTTTGTTTCACGGTTATGTTATTTTATGACCTCAGTACACCTATCATGTTAAAACAAAATTAAGGAAATGAGCTTCGATTATTTTCATAACTGAATGCTCAAATAACTTAGTACAGTACCCTTGATAATTTCATTTTTACATGCAACCTAGTGCAATTTAAAAAATTATCTACACAAACACTCATGTAATACAAAAGAAATTAATTTCTACTACATGAAATTGAATATTATTGGAAGAAATCCTATTTACTTTTTACAGTTTTTGAGATAATTTGGTAGCCAACTTCTAAACTACATCATGCTTATTTACAAAACCAATTAAGTTATTTTCAAGTCGGTTCATGCATATAAATGAAAAAAATAAAAGACTGCAGAAACAGAAAAAAAATTTACGACAAAAATGTGTCACTGTAAAATTGCCATATTAATTTGAATTAATTGTTGATAAAGTCAATCAATCAAATTAATGACTATTACATGTTATGAGCAATTGTGGAGTGGTAAGCAATGCAAATGCATACCATCAAGAACGTAATTGACTTCCACATCACTATATTTGAAACTAATGTGCCAATACTGATGGAGAGTTTTAAGAATCTTGGGTCTTGTCACTTTTCTTAGCTGTAATAGGATCTACAGATGATTCTTCCAAAGTTCAGAAATGTACAGATAAAAAGCTTTTTTTCCATTTTTCCAGAAAAATTAAAAATTATTAATTCTGGATGGAAAAAATGGTTTGGATAAATGGGAGTCACAGAATTAATAAAAGGAAGCACAGAATAGATCAGAATAAAAACAAAAAACATAGTAGAGAGTCTGTTCCTGCAGTCCTACAGTTTCAAATGGTATAGTAGACCCTACCAGAATGCGAGCCTCCTTGCTCCATTTCACCATCGCTGTCTGTGCCGGGACATGCAAACAAAATCATAAAAAGAATGCCAAGACTACAAAGAATGAAGAAGCTATTAAATACCATTAATAGCTATAAAAATTAAACAAGCAAAAATAGGTAGTTTACCTACTCATTGATCACTTAAATTTTTTTTTTTTAAGTCCGCAAATGATAGTTTGTAGCAGAACATAAAATAACAAGCAAATGAGCAAATCCAGTAATTCCCTTATGATAAAAATAATAACTTAAATAAATTTACAACAAATTATTTTGGATATTATTTCCACAAAATATCCAATTAATTTCAAAATTTAAGATAACATCAGGATCACCTACACCCAAACAAAAGCACAAAACTTGGCAATTTTAGTTTTAATTACAATTACTATTTACAATAGAAAATACCAACTACCTTAAGAAGTAAATGGAATTTCTGTGAAATAATAATATGACTGATAAGACACTTGCAATTTAGCCAATGCAGTTATAATAATGTGCAAGCATGCAAAGTTTTTATGCAAGACAAACTTATTAAGGATAGTACAAACCAGATGAAGCATACTCTCCTGGATGCACCCAGCTGCCTGTAGCCAACAAAATAAGTCTAACAGAATGAACGTGATATATTCAATCAACCATCTAAGATTTTACCGAATCTACTTCCTTTACCAATTGATAATTACTATTTACTAGCAATTCTGAGTTTTCAAATTTTACACATATAAAATTAATTTTGTACGTATATAGAAAGAAGGCACCATACACAAAAGTAAAGGCTGATCTTTTTCCAATTCCAATCAAAATTGCAGGTTCAAAGGTACAGTGGAACCTCAAAATCTCAACACTGAAGGAAAGGATTAAATTAAAAAAGAGACTTGACATCAACTTTGAAATTTAGACATTTACTTGAAATTAAAAAGTAATTCCAAACACATTTTTCAATTTGGAAATTAATTAAACATGGTTAAAGTTTTCGTTTCAAAAATTCATAGATCAATCAAAACTCAATGACATTGACAAACAGTATCATGACTCAAACATCACAGTAGGTTCAAAATTATTTTTCAATCGCATTTTCATATCAAAGTCGGTACACTTTATTTTATTTTTTATCTTTGCACTGGCTTTGATAGAAAAAGAAATATATGACTCCCTTCTTGCAACGTCTCTTTATTCCAAGAGAAGAATATATACAATGTAGTGTAATTGTTGAAAATTTAAAGATGGTAATGAAAAGTGGCATGTGCCATGTGGTATTTGTCATTTTTCTCTATGCAAAATGAGAAAATATTAGACAATTAAGAAAATTTTGTTTTCATTGTTTTGGAAAATTGGAACAATTTAATTCACAATTATGTGAAAACTAAGACTAATTTGAAAAACACTGAAGCAGTAAATCTTCATTTATATGTTTTTCAGAAGCTTGAAGGTGAAAAAAATGTCTAAATGAGAAAAACGTAGAAAAAAAAGTAGTAGAGATTTTAATAAAATTAAAATTTATCATATTTATAAGTATACTTCAATTTATGCCAAAACTCATTAACAAATCAGACAAATTAATTGTAAGAGCTGCACAGAATAGGGATACACAAATGGTTTCTTTTACATTGACATTTTTGTCAAAGCTCTCATATCCCCCCTTTTTTTTCCGTGGTGACTGGGGTGGCCTGTAATTGCCTTGGAGAGAGAATGCAGAAGTCTGCAATGAACACATGGGACTGTGAGCAGAAATTATTAAACTGAAAACCAATCCCAAAGTATGGTCACGAAAGCCCATAAATGATAGGTTTCAAATACTCTTACATTTCAATTACCAGAGCAAAGAATCAAGGGCAACAAGGGATTCAATAGTACTTCCAAAAACAGGATAAATTCAAGGTATCAAAACTGTTCTTTCATAGCATTCAATTTAAAGAGATAAATTAACGTGTAGCAAAGGTGAAGGCGAGGTGAATCTTGTTCGGCAGTCAGCTGGAAGGGATTCAATGTCTTTTCTTTAGGAGAGGATGTTTTTGTTGTGTGCATCAGAGCAAATGGGTGAAGCACACTTGGGCCTGAGAGGTCAAGGATTACATATGCACGTTAACACGTAGAAGGTTGAATTATGAGTTTTATATGAAATTGGTTTTAATGTAAAATATGGTTTTTAAAGTTGCTAGAATAACTGAGTAATTAAAAAAAAAAAAATTTCATAGGAATTAGTCTAATTTAACAGGAAAAAATAACAGGAGAAGCAATTGCAAGAATTCAAGCAATACCAAAATGGAACATGGCATGAGCATCGGTTATGAAGGCTGATCTCTAAAATAAGATGAACTTTCCACTTTTCCTTCTAAAAAATTACATGAGATTGTTGAATCTCTTTGTTCGGAACAGAATAAAATATAATAATAGCCTAAATAGTCATAAGATCAGTACGAATATATGTATTGAATAGGTAAAATCAAAGGTATCACAGAAATTTGTTGTTTTCTTAAAGTATTATTTCACATAGGTAATATTGTATAAGCAAGCGAGAGTAGGGCCGGTGATGAAGACAGCAATGTTCTTTGTTTTGCTTTGAAAAGAAAGAAACAGAGGTATTGGTATACTCAATGCAACTGACAACTGAAGCACTGATATATAGACCAAGGCCTGAAGTCGTCCTCTTGCAATGCCATCTCATGTTCAACACCACTCTTGAATGTCCATTTAAAATCACAGGGAAATATATTGATAACGATATGAAGAATGGAAGTATTTTGAGTCTTTAAAGGTACCACATATTACAGTCATATTCCTGGCACAACAAATTCTACAACATGAGTACATGATATTATTCAATTTAATGAAAAAATCCAGGAATTTCTTCTTTAACTTCCGGGACCCATAATATAGAACGTTATGAATGTGTCTCAAAATCATTCACGAGTGGTCAAATTATCAAGTGCTCTCTGGGTGATTAACGTAATGTTCATATGAAAAAAATATCTCAAGAAACTCTTTGGGCTGATTAATTGGAACTATGTGCTATATACTGGAACTAATGTGCAATGCAACTATTGCCATTGTTAGTTCTCATATGTGCCGGCCGTTGTCGTTGTTTCCAAGGATTTGAATATGATGTACCTGTATGTGGAGATGGAGCAGTGAATGATAAGAAGTTGCCATGGTAATAAATGGCCAATTCCATGTTCGAAACAAAAGCAGAGAATACTTTCAGTTAATCCTGTTCCTCAATATACTTGTATAATTAATTGAAGCTGGTAATAGTTTACGTAAGCTGTTTTGGGCATGGACACATCCATGGTTAAATAAAATTTCTGAATTCACCCTCAAATGAAAAGTTTATTTAGTGGAAGGATTAAAATATGAGAATATTTAAATTAGCCACCAGGAAAGTGTAGTGGCTTTGCAAAATACAGGGAGATATTTGAAATTGAAAGTAAAATAAAATAGCCATGGAGGAGGAACCACTTCAGAAGGGATCTTAAAATTTGTGGTAAAGGAATACAAGCTATCAAGGTTCCACTATACTATGTAGTTTACTAAAAACGATTTAAGTGTTGATTTGGGCTTCTATATACATTCTGTTACAAATTGCCTTCTTGGACACTAAATCACTTCCAGCAATAATACCTTCAGTACATTTTAAGAAATAATAAATATCTATCTGAGTTGTTATGTATGTCAATAATAAGCTGAATTAGTATGCGCAAGAGTGATCAGCATATGGAAAACAACTTTAACATTTACATCTCATCTTACCTTTTATTGAAGTTTACTTCATCTCAAATCCAATAAATTTGTAGAAAATTTGAATGTCAATCAGTACCATTAACGATTTCATAATTAAACATTCATTTTCATTTCTCCTAACAATTATATGAAATTACTCAAAACTTCTTCCTTATTGAATTGTGGACACCAAAAATGAAATTGTTAAAATGTGCTGGATTTCACAACCTAATTTTGTCATTCACACAATGTTAGCCAGATAAATAAAATTATGCCGCATCAGATGCTGAGGGGTGATAATGTATGATTTAATATAAAAAACTATTATTCCAAAACATAAAATGAATGTATAGTGGGTAGTGTAGTAAAGCCTGACGATGGAATAATACACTTCAAAACATTGGCAAACTAGCATTTTTATTTACCTTGTCCATTTATCAGGAAGTTGTATATAAAGAAAATTAGCCATGTGCCATAGCCATAGCCATTATTGATAATTAAAATTCATAGCAAAGTAAGATTATCACTTTACCTGTTATATCAGCACCTTCATCCATTTCGCCCAGAGCTTCAGCATCTTGAAAACTCAGCTCTTGGTATAAAGTATTGCCACTTCGCTGTTCCCTGAAATAAATAATTTGATACAAATAAATAGCCTTCTTGCTTTGTTTCAATTCCTTCTTGAAAGGTAAGAAATACTCACAGATTTTCTACATATATAAAAATGAATGTTGGTATATATAAGAGAGCTAAACTCTGACAATGTGTGACCGATCTCCATGAATTACACAGCACATAAGGTGCTTTTTCAACCAGAAGATTTAGGTTAAACTCATGCACTCATAAATACAATAATGTCAACAAATCACCACTAACATAAATATAAAAGTGACAGACAATTCAAAAAAATTACATTTTTATACTTTGAAAAAACTAAAGCATAGAGCAATATGGTGTTAATGTCACCTTATAGACCATATTTAACACTGTCCCTACTAAAAGTTAAAAAAAAAAATTTGAAGCTGTTTCGAGGATATCTTGTTTTTGTAATATTTTTAATTGCAAATATTCCACGCAATACCGTGCAAAAAATACAAAAAAAGGTTCCAAAAAAATGTATATGACATTAATGGAAGAACTAATTATGAACAACAAATTTCATTTGAAGTAATAATTATTATCTTCAATTTTGTAATTGTAGGAAGATGAAAAACATTCAAAATTTTGTAATTTAAAAAAAAATCAGTGTTAACTGTGAAAATCGGACCTCTCCCACAGTTATAAGAGTATAATAGACTATTCTTACAAGAAATGCAAAGAAAAAATTTGTAGCCATTTTTGATAAAATTTTGAAAATGTCCTTAATTTTGAAGAAAGTTTTTCAAAATTGGACAGATGGGCACATGTTTTTAAAAAAAGCACTTTTTTGGTTATTAGGGGACTCCACAACATATTTCCGTTGAAATATCGAAATTGATTTTCTGCAGTATTACAACTTTCTCTATACTAAGTGTATATGCGTACAGATACGAGAAAGTAAACAATTCAAAGGTTTCTTGCCACACCTTCGTTTGCACATACTTGGAATCATTTTTGAGAAAATTATGAAAATGTTTCTGAGGCTTTATGAAAAGTATCCCCAAAATTAAAATAAGTTTCAAACTCAGGGGTTGTCACACAAATACTTATTTTAACCCTTCCGCGTGGGATGCCGTGTCCTGAACGCACCAGTCCTTTCACTTCTATTTCGGGGTGCCGTGGCAGGTACGCGAAGAGCCTTTTCCTTCCATTACAAAACAATGTTGAGCGTCTTACTGGCAGACACTTCATAGAGAAAATTCCTCCTGTAGACAATAAAGCGAGACCCCAGAAAACATGTGTTGTTTGCCAGAGCAAGGGAAAAAGACGCGAACCTTTCTACTGGTGTCCTGACTGTAAAGTGGGATTGTGTGTGGAGAATTGCTTCAAAGAATACCACACCAAAGAAAATTATTGACTAAATTCATTTTGCAATTGTGTACATAAGTTGTGTAGTTAGATTAGCAATAATTGTATATTTAATTTTATTATGTAGAAAAATTGCCTATTTCTGTAGTTTACTAATCTGGGATTGGAAATAAATGTATTTTTATGTTTTATATTGTGTAAATACCGATCCGGTGGCCGAGATCGCTAAGGCAGTAGTGCCGTAAAGATCTCGTACCGAAAGATCGCGGGTTCGAGTCCGCCTCTGGCATGGTTGTCTTGTGTTCGTCCTTTCACCCCCCCCCCCCACCCTCATCATCATCCTCCTCCATCTCTCATTATCACCTTTCTGAATAACATTCAGAATTGTAACTCAAGGATTTATCCTCACCTCAAGGTGAAAACCTTCGAGCCGACCAAAGTGAAGTGGAACGAATCAAGTGGTCCAATGTGGCCAATCAAGTTAATAATAATAATAATAATAATAATAATAATAATAATAATAATAATAATAATGTGTAATAGTCTTATTTATAATTCTGTCATTTTATCATTTTTGCCCAAACAAATATTTTAAATAGCAAAAGTTAACATCATGTGCCCGGCTGAATGCGTCTTGCGGCCCGCGCTGCCCACTGTGAAACTCTCCCGTGGCAGGGTTCCCCCGGCTGCTACCCGGCCGCCGCGCCCAGGTAGACCTCTCACTTTGGCTGCAAGTCGATGACATGGCGGCCGTTCTGCTCCCCACGCGGAAGGGTTAATCAACTACGATCATGAGTAATGCTTATTTTTACATGCTTATCACATACTTTTTTGTTTTGCTTCGACCAATTGGTGAGACAATTGTAGTATTAGCAATCTCTTCTACATCTTCCAATTCAGGAGTAGATTCTTTTGTATCAGGGCTGAGACCATCAACCCAACCTCCTCCTAGACACAGAAAAAATGTAAATAATCAACATTGTTAGAACAATGAAAACCACTAAATTCAGAAGTTACATGCTTAACCATTTAATAATCAATATTATACCCTACACAAGTAATTCACATTCAGCAAACAAATTAAAATATACAAGGTGAATCAAGTACCTTTAGCACCTCCTGTAATTTTTGAATGGTTGAAGTTATTATAATGCAGTTTCTACGGAAGTGTATGAAGGAATTGGGCTAATTGATGAATGTATATTCATTTCAATTTTATCACTTGAACTTTGTGAGATATTGAGGTAACTTGATTATTTCAAATAGAACTGCACATATTTTTTAGTCTATCATGACAAGCATAAAAAGACTAATAAAATGATATAGCTTCCATCAATCCAGTCACATGCTTCCCCATGTATGCTCCTCTGATGGATTACATGTATTTCTCATTTGCATGTAATCCATCAGAGGAGCATACATGGGGAAGCATGTGACTGGATTGATGAAGCTTAGAAACCCTTGCCCAGGTATATCAGAATTAAATTTTGAATAGCAAAGACAAGGATTTAATTTTTTTGTTCATATAGCTAATGCCTATATACACTATTTATTTGCAAAGCAGTGCACCAGTAAAAAAGATATCTAAATTTTTTATAGAAATCTACATTAAGTTACATTCACTATCATCACAATTAGATTAGATATTAATTCCTACTTGTGACAGTGCCGCGGTGTTCCAAAGTAACTGCATCAGTTAGCTGACCTTTCTCAGATGTTTCTTTGTTCTTTGGGGTTTCTTCTTGGGCTTCCACTTGAGTTCCCTGAGACAAACAAAAATAATTAAATTTGTATAAATTCTTTGAATGAAATTGCTTTGAAGGTAGCAATACAATGACAAGGGTGCAAACTGGTTATTTTCAGAAGATTAGAACATTCAAAACCCCAGGACATCCAGTTCCAAGAAATTGATGATTCTTTCTTTAATAAATTCAGGTCAGTAGTAGCAGGTCAGTCAGTAGTCTCTGCCCAAATTTTTTCCATCACAGGTCTTAATGTTTGGGAATATTTGAAGGGTCACATCTTTTAAGCTAATGATCATGGATACAAGATTCTTTTCTTATTTTAAATCAACCATCTTGTGTTTTTATATGAAGTACTAACTTTATGTTTACATTAACAATTTACAATTATTTTTAATAACACAAAAAATTTAGTACTGGAAAAGGTCAAAATGTTTATTTAAATTAAATTCTTACAAAGTCGGTCAATATTTAAGCATTGAAACTAACATTACATTTGTGACTATTACAATAATAAACAAAACATTTCATTTATTCCCAATAATCGGCTTTAGTGATGCTCATCAGTGTGACCAAAGTTATTTATTATCAACTAAATGGCAGCAAAGGAAATTTAGCAGTGTATTTAGGTACTTCATTGGTGTAGAAAATGAATAGTGAATGAATGAATGTCAGCGAGCCGAAAAATTGTGTATATACACAAATATACAGTATAAATCACACGCCTGTAGATTCTTGATGAATTGTAATTTAAAGAGACCTACAGGTGCCCCTAGATTCTAAGGGTAGGAACCTGAATGTGTTAAACATAATAAAATGTGGAAATCATACACGAGGCACCTTCTATGGATTAATTATATTTTGGTAAGGAGAAATTAATTATTTCCAGTGGGGGATGATCCCCACAATTCTCCTCCCCTTCCCTGTCCATTCACACCCTGACAATAACTTTAAAAGAAAAAGATTACAAACTTTAAATTATTGCATTCCTTACAGGGAAATCATTAAATTTTTTGGGGGAGGGGGTTATATAAAGATGTTTTAGTAAACAAATATTAACGCAAAGAAGATAATGAGGTAATAGTAATTTACTTGTTTTCATGAAGTATTTATAAATTAAATGATTTTTTTCAAAAATCTTTATTCATGAAATAATGATAAATCCATTCCATGCTATTATTTTGATTAACTAATATGAGCAGAAATAGTTAAAAAGAAATTTTGTTTTAAAAAAAACTCTCAACATACCTGCATTTCATTTCGCAGACTTGTATTTGAATGGTTGCTGTCTGGTGGAGAAACAGGAGCAATAAACTCACTAGGACTCCCAACAGATCGAGATCCAGGATCCAAAGATCCAAAGCCAAATGAATTTGGTCCTGACGGCCTATGGAAACAATTTCAAAACATTAATACTATATCATGCAAAGTAAATTTTGTAATTAAAATTTTATTCATAGTTCTGTTTGCACAAACATATAATACAATATAATAAAATGCATTCTCACAACACTAACTCCCACTACAACACCATGACACCATAAATTTTGAAAATTACTACTCTAAAACTGAAAGATGAAATTTACAAGGGATGAAAAAAGGGTTTTGTGCTCGGCAAACAGAACCCCAAGATCATGCAACTACAACCAAACATGTACTTCCTTGATCTTTTTTAGTTTTCTTGTCATTAAAGTAAATTATTATATATTGTAATAATAAATTATTATATATAATAATTTTACTTTAAAAAGTTGTTTTGTTAATTTATCCACATATTAAGAAGTTAAATCATCACTGTCGATTTATTACAGAAAATTCTCATAAAGAGAAACGAATGATCATCAAGGAAATACAACCAAGAAAGATGCAACATAGAAGGTTTTACGGACAACTCGGGCCACATTGGAGACCTGTTCAGCGGGCCAAGGCTCATGGAAGGCCTAGCACCTCGTACAGCTCCTTCCAAACGTTCTGCACTTCCCATTAACAGCTTTGTACGTTCCATGTAATCCATGTGTGTTTTAAACAATTCAGTATATCTTTCATGTAATTTGGAATATTCTCTCTTTTGTTCTGATTCTTTCTCTTCAAGGCGTGCAACTGAAGAGAAGACAGCAAATGTTAAACAGTACTTTATAAATCAATTAAAACACCAACAAAGAAAAATTATATACCATGATCTGAGGCGTTTTTTGCTTTTAATTCAAGCATGCGTACAATTGACTCTAGGCTTTCTATTTTTCCGCCTAGATCTTTTCTTTCATCCTCTCCAGCATCTTCCAATTCCAATAATTTCTGCAAAAGAAAACGCATTGGCAAGGGTCCAATATGATTGAGCATACTATACAGATAAGCATTACAGAGGTAACTTGCAAGTACATTGAATGACACATACCTGTTCTGAATTTTTACGGAGTTGTTTCTCTCTTTCATACTGTGTCACCAGCTGTTCGTTGTCTTCACGTAACAGTTCTAATTCGACCTCGTGCTCTTGATTTTCGGTGTACGAAAGATCAAGACATTCGAGAACATTCACTACTAAAGGCATCAAATCTTTCACGACATCTTCATCATACTTCGCTATCATTTTCTCAAATTCTTGGTAAATACTCCCTGCGAGAGATTGGACTTTTTCTGACATAACCACATGAGAATCCTCATGGGTGCCGTAAACAGTTTCTTGATCTATATCCATCATTTTCGCTGCTTAATGTAAATTTTTGCTTCAAAGGTAATATACTTATCAGAGAATCATTCTTCACACGGTTGAGTAAAGTCTTGAATCGTCCATTTTCACACGAGCACGACTGACATTTTCCTCGGGGAAATTCACAGCCAACTTACGAAATATTATTTTTCTGGACTTGGCTCACAGAATTCCGCAAAACCATAGACATTTTATTGCAGATACCCGACTTGATAAGAAAACACCCAATCAACTGCGCAATATTTCGCACAAGTTGCGGATTACGAAGAAATTAGCCCGAATTCCCTTCACTATTCGCAACACTGGAACTGACACAATTCGAACATTGATTAAATTCACGTCGCAATTGCCTAACAAAAGTAAAATTATGCATCAGGACTTCCAAATCTGAATAGAAACTATAGTGTCATTGTATCCTTTTTTTGAAGCGTAGGTTCATAAGCTTTTTAAACACATGATCACAGAGACGTACTCTGACGTCGTCACGTACCATGGGAAACCAGGCGCATCAGACCAGAGTACGATATCCTTCAGATGATAATACGTCATCAGATGGCAGGTGCAGAGAACAAAGGCGGGAAAGATGAACTGAATTCATGAAAAAACCCACAAATACGAGTAAATTTATTTTTCAATAAGTAATTACATGTATAGCTTGAGATTTTAAAATATGTTGACGTGCGGGAAATATTTGAAGAGTAAACTGTGCTGGCACACACATGAGCAATTTAGGCATTTCTAATAGTTATAAATACAAAGCAAATCTACCAAACACAATGAACAAATCAATATGTACACATATGATTTAAGATATTAGAATTTTTTTTTAATTCTTCGTTTTCATGCCTTGTATAAACATCAGGGGGGTGTTTTTATGACCTTGATTGTAGTCTGAAACATTCTTTCACAACGTCCTTGATCTCAATCTAAGTTATCATTCATCATCAAACATCACAATTGTCCAAATTCAATTTTATTTATACCTTTAAAAAGTTATTCCAAGAGATCATACAATCAGCAGACTGGCTTTTGACAATTACACATCTCATTAATTCTTAATCAGTGAAAAACATTAACAATACTGATAAATTATTTAATTAAATTGGAAAACTTTGTTAAGTTATTGAAATAATGAATTTTTAAACAGCATTCTGATATTAAATGAACAAAAAATGCATTGTTAACATGAACAAAACATTATATACCTTGATAATATCCTGATTTTTCAAAAATGTGCACATCAAATTTTTCTTGTGTTTCAAATTGAATATAATTGTAGTTTATATGCTAGATTGACAAGAACAATTCAATCCCATTACATAAAATTACCCTTTTAATATAAATGACCCTGTCACAGGAGGAAAGAGCAATACCTTTGTGTCCCATAACTTATTCTCATAAGTATAGGAAGTTTTTCTTCTGATCCCTTGGTTGTGTAGACAAATGTCTATCTCAATGATGTTATTTTCGTGAGTTAAATGGTATAAATTTTGATATCTTCATTACTGAAGTGGTAGACAATGAAACACTAAAAAGCTACTTACCCAATACGTACACATTGCACAAAATATCGAACCACAAAATTTAGATCAGATTAGGCCAAGCAAAAAAAAAAAAAGATATTAAACAATTTCATGAAACTTGAACACACATTAATACATTCACATTTTTTGGCATAATTAGAGAGGAATTAAATGGTGTAAGCAATTCACTTTATTGGAATAAAAACACATATGTAGCTACCAACAAAAACAAAAATAGCTGGCTTAGGTATACTAATATATCGAAGAAGCTACTAATATGTATCAGAAGTTATGGGTTTGGAAATTTATGTACCCTTCAACGTTCTTCAAATGTACTGGTCCTCTGATGAATGGATAATATTTATCAAAAATTTGTACAGCATAAAAAGCCCTATATATTTTCATATAAAAAATAAACAAACAAATAAATAAATAAATATTAATGAAAAATTCTTAAAAAATAAGTGGGAAACAGCTGTATTAACAAGTATGCATGAAATGTTGCTTTCTTTACGTAGTGAATAAATATTACATTTCATATACAAAAATCTATTATAGTCACAGCATCTAAAATAAATACAGTAATATATCTACAACAAAAGTCAGCTTTGACTGAACATATACATAATAAAAACCAGTAAATACACATAACTATTTACTAACATAAATTTCTCATTTGTTAATATTTTATAGTAACCAATATTATTTCTAAATGTATTGATTGCCAGTGAAATCTCAATATTTTATAACAATACTAAGTTTAATGCAGAACTGAAAGTAACTTTACAAATCTATTGCATTACAAAATGTCTGTGCACAAGAAAACAAAAAAACAATTATTTTGGCATAAGGAATTGCATTGCTCATTGAATGAAAGAATTTTCATAGACAGAAAGTAAGACATGTAATAATACAGATTTCCCCATCTATTATTCCAGAAACATAGCTTCAAAAATATATTAGTAAGAAAATATTTATTACTTGAACACATGTTCTCAACAAAAATAAAGCAATCATGAAGATGAATCACTTGCCAGTTCTCAGAACTGGCATTTACATGGTAAGCATATTAGCAATGAAAAAATACCTTTTTTCTTTTCACTTTCACATTTATCTAAAGCAAAACTTTAAGACAATCTACATTCAAAGGAAATCATAAAAGGAGTGTGGTGTTTGAGGTTCGAAAACGTGGCAAACGAAACCCCATTAAATAGTCCATCATTATATAGGCACACGCTATATTTACATAAACAACAAAGACAAAAACAATTATCCTTTTTATTTCACACAACTAAAAAAGTATGATTTTAGAACTCTTTGAGTCTGTTACCATTCAAACATTCATGCAAATACAGAGCAAACAATACAAGTATTTGTACTTTCAAAATACCCACAATACCCCTAAAAATGTATTCAATTCTTATTCAAAATTAATTACAAAAAATACTTTTAACTTTGCATGAGCTATTACTATGATGTAAAATTTGCACTTCTGCTTTTGTTTTGTCACAACACACATGAATTGTTTAAATATATTGTCACAACACTATATTCAAAACCTTCATGGACTTGGTAATGTATATTTACAAAAGAAACAAATAGCCATCGAAAGTAGATTTTTCAAATGACCAGCTAATTTGTAAGGTAATAATCTTTTCATTCTTTCCTACTGGAAATATTGTGTAAGTCATTTCTGTAATAAACAATAATAACACAATTGCTGCAAAGTCAATTCACAAGTCAGTAGTGGTACTGGCTTGAATCAGAGCAACTTTTACTTATAAATATGATCATTGATAGAAACATAATTGTTTGTTAATAGCATTTCTTGGATTCAACAAGAATCCACTAAGGACACAAATATGCTTTCCATAGTTTTTTTCATTTTCAGCTCTGAATTTCATTCTTACTCAAACAAATAATGCCATCCATACAAGTTTGCCATTATATGAAAAACCAAACAAATTGTCATGTTGCTGTAAACAGTGGACATTGATAACCTCTTTTCATTTTATGTAAGGGGCACAATTAGGTACTGTTCTTAAAATATTATACAAAACATTATTTTCTAGCAAATCAAGAGGATCTTCACTGACTATACTTGGGTTTTTACTTCTTGGCGCATGAAGCCTTGTCTTCATGATGGAATATCTCATGGTATTTTGCGTCTTTCTCGGTCGTGCTGCGTGATGTCGCATGATCGCCAGCACTGCCCGATACGGTCGCAGTACAAAAATACTGTGACATATTTCTTCGTGAAAACATGGCCTTGTGCGCCCAGAAATAAAAACCCAGGTTTATAAAGAAGCATACTGAAGGAAAATATTCTCTTCATTATTTCAAACGATTTTTAACAAAAGATATGTAATAGTAAAACACTATATAAAGAGGGCAAAAATAGTTATCAAAAATTTGTGGTGATTATATGTGCTTGGTTAGAATAAATTTCCCAGTGACATAATACGGAAATAAATTCTACTGTGTTGGAGCAATTTTTACAAAAAATAACAGCTCATGTTACATATAGCATTATCATGGACAATAAAATCTAGCCAATCGCTTAATAAAAATAATGTGTGGTTGTTCAACAACCTATCTTTGGCATATTCTTAGCTTCAGTATTTATTCTTGATGAGTTAAGACTTGATCTGAACTTTCTACAATGAGCATTATTGATCCTGGTTGGCCAAGGTTTGGATCAGTGGCATTTCGAACACATTCAACTTGATGACTGCCCCAGTCCTTACGTTGACAAAACGTAGAACAGTATGGGGTACGTCTGCACAATGAGCACTCAGCGAAAGCTTCTCGATTACAGTTGGCACACTGCAAGAAAAATAAAAGCAATTTACTGATCTCCTATGACACAAATAATATTTACTTTGTAATTTTCTTCTTGGTTTTGTAATACTATTTTTGTATCTTTACATTAGACTAACATCAAGATCGTTTATGCAATTACATGTTATTAATTTATTTATGTCTACTTGTAAGACCTTTAATGTAAAACCCCTTAATCACAAGCTTCGCTCTGTCAAGGGTGTGCTAGAACGCATTTTATGTAACTAATATGTAATGTTCATTGCAAGCAATAAATATATACATTCACCTACCTTCTTACTTTCAGAACCATCAGAGGTAGGCTGCAATCCCACTGTTTCAATAGGATCTACAACTTGCACAGGTAACGTATCAGATCTAAAATCAAAAGGTATGTAATAGTACAATATTCACAATTGCCTCAGTGAAAACTTGGAACATTTAAAATTATTTATTTGTGTAAACAATTTGGTTGATGATATTGATACTAACCTACTTGATTTCCTTCATTGACTGCCAACCTTAGATATAAAGTAGTATTGTAAAAACTAGTAATAAGGAAAGAAAAGTCCTGTACTGGACCTACTTGTATACCCTCAAAATTTTTGAAAGTCTGTGTTTATATTCATCACAAACCTCTATACAATCTAATATTTAATAAATCACTTAGAAAGAGTTATTTCCAAAGACATGGAAAGAAAATTACATCATTTTAATTAAAGAAACTTAGAAACAGCAGAAACACCCCAAATGTAGTAGTAAATCCTACATAAATAATAAGTCTAATTCCAAAACAATTTGAAGCTATTATTAGAAAAAAAGATTAGGGGCAGAATTCATAGTCATTTCTTATAATGATCATTCCTTAAGTAAGAGATTCCAATTCACAAGAGTCCTTATTTTCAAACGAGTGACATTAGTATAATGTAGGTCACCTGTAGCATTAAGTATTCCTCATTCACCTGAGGGTTAACCAGCAGCACCAGTTACGTGAAGTCTACGAACACGTAGGTTTACACAAATCACAGACAACAAAGATGATATCTTGGAGTATTTTAAGTTTAACTCTCAAAATATCGTCCACATAATGAAGAGTATTAGAGATGCTGATAATCCATTGGAAATATACAATGGAGAATAATTCAGACGGTAGCTTCATTTCTGTAAAAACACTGTTGTAAATAATCTTGTTCCTCTCAACGCCGAAAGTAAAATGAAACGTAGAGAGGATTACAAATCCCTCCTCTTATAAAGATGCTAATAAAAGCATTAAGAATTAATTAATAATGATAGCATTAAGATTTTACGCAACTTCATCCTTTCAGGTTCATTCTATAAGATTGTAAAAGATATGACATATCTATAAAGTTAGTCAAGATCTCTATTAAGTTAGTCACGCTACCCTGTGGTGAATAATTTCTGAAATGTCAGAAACATTGGTACGTAACATCAAGAATTTTGTACAGTTTCATCCGATAGAAAGATTTTGCATTTCGAAGGGATAAAAAGCCAAAATGCCCACTCTTATAAGCTTTGTAAAATTGCGATTAATGTAAATTTGTTTAATTCCTGTTGAACCTCATGTGAAATTTGTAATGACAAAACAAGTTTGCCTGCTTCTCAGGAGCCAGTTAAACCCTTGTGAAGCGTCCTGAATCTTAACCTTACCCTTATGCGGAATGCGGAGATGCTACCTGACAGTCCTCTTGACAACTGACTTTGACGAGACGTGACATGACATACTAGTAATGTAGAGTTACTCCTAATAATTAATAGAGGATTACTTCAAGCGTAAGCGCTCAACACCCTCCAAAGGACTTGGAGACACATTGCATCTATGTAGACACAACAAATTAAATTAAGTTTACAAGAAACACACAAGTCACAACGAAAACACAGTTAGAGCCAACAACCAATGAAACTATGGAAATCACTGTTAAACACAGGGTCAGCTTGCAGAAATGCAACATTGCAACATTTCCGATACCTTAAGGAACAATCATTTCTATTCCCATGAGAGACATCTATGAAGTAAAGCCTCCTTAAGTGACCTCTCATTTTGAGGAACTCCTTATTGTTTAAGCATTCCTAAGGGATAGACTATGAATTCGTCCCTAGATTTCATATTACTGCACCTGCTATTAAGGAATAACATGGCTTAGTGGAAGGGAGATAGACGCTATTGAACTTAATATAGTAAGACTTTCAATTGTGTAGACCTCAATAATACTGAAAAATAAAAGTACTGTTGGGGGTAAATAGTGTTGGGTATTCTAACATTGTACACTTTATTTTAAAGATTAATATACTAAGTATTCTGTGATAATCTATAAATGATTTTTAGTGTCTTACAATCTTGGATAAAAAATATGGCATCGCTGGCTCAAAATTGAGTATTGTATTTTTGAATAAATTATGTTCTGTACTTGCATGTCAGGTTGGTACAGACAGGGTCCATGTAAACAAGTTCTTTTGTAAACAAGTCTACCGTCTCCTACATGTAATATAGAAACCTTGTATATTGTCATAATCTACACCTCCAGCCAAGGCCTTTTTAAATTATCTGTAACATCACTGATTCATGAATTAAAAAAAGGCTGATTTTATAAATCCCTTATTTATCGATTTCATTCGTCCTCCATAGATAAGGTACAAACATACAATACATAACTTTCAGTTCACATAAAATGGAAGGTACACTGGATTTTTCATGTTTTAAATTCTTAATATACCAAGCAAAGTATCTTAAATCAATTTATTTGTATGCAATAATAAAATTTACATTTACAACAGCATAAAAATGTCTTAATCCTCAAGAAGGAAGAGGGTTTTAAAGGTTCATCTCCCAACAATAATCTCAAAACGTATTCTTTCTGTTGAAAAATATTTAATTAAGCATACATTAAACGTTTTATAACCAGAAGATATATACATGAAATATACTCATGAAAATTACTTTCCTATTTTTAAATAAAGCAAATTTTTTAAATTTCTTCCAAGGTGGAGTTCCATCCAAGATGCTGATACCATGAACTACAAGCTTCCTACATACTTGTGAGAGTATATTAATGCTCTGTCCACTAACTGATCATCAGCATTGTACAGAAGAACAATATGCATTAACCACAGCCAAAGAATTAAATGAAAGTATAGGTGAATAGGACATAAAAATTAAATTCACGTCAACTCTACTTCTAAATCTCTTCTCACAATCTTTCTTGTAACATGTATTCTCTCAAGGAATTACACTCTTCCTTATTCTTAGAAGATTACGAATGTCATGGCTTACCTGCTACAAGCAACTTGTGTCTCTACTCGTGCAGCTAGAACAGCTTGTTCTTTAGATTCTTTGAGTTGATTGACTTCTCTCTGGCACTGATCTCGCACATCTTCCACAGTTCGACGGAACTGATATGCCAATTTTAGCATGCGTCCTGCCATCTATCAATAAAATTAAAATATTCAGTATATAAAAGGACATTTCCACACTAAATAAAAATATACTTCATTACAGGAGTTTGTACAGATGAAATCCTAAACAATTGACTGCCAATTACAACACAATGTAAATTACTAAACTAATCTAGTTTCCGTTTTGAAAATAGACTGATTATAAGGAATAGCTCTTAGTAACAATTGGGGTATTTCATCCTTCAACACAGAATGTAGACTTGAGACAGCATGTTCCTTTCAACTACTTATGAGCATCTAAACATCATTGGACATTCTCTGTACAGTCCCCTTATGGCTTTGGTACTATCACACACCTATCTTCTTTTTCTGCGGCTTTTTCTCCTTAGGAGCTTGCCGTTTTCACCCTCCACAACTCTCTATCCTCCCAATCTCCTGGTTTGAGGTCTCTATCCTCCATAGCTTTCTGGATGGATTTCTCCCACGCTCAAATGGGTCTTCCTCGTCTTCTCCTCTCAGGTGGTTGCCACTTTAAGAATTGTATGTAGTGCTCCATTTTCCAAGGTCTTCGTAATAGAACAAATTACATTCATCCTTCTCCATACATCTTCATTTCGCACTCTGACCCTGCGGATATTGTTATTCCATATTATGCTGTGTAAAGCTTTGGTTGCTTTCTTTCCACAATTACTCTTGAGTTTATATCTGTGTACATCAATCCTTTACTGCATTTACACACTGAGCACTACGACCAGCCTTTTCCAGAATTTGGAAGAGTTTACCAAATAAGACCATATCGTAAGCCTTTTCCAAGACAAAAAATGCAAGGTAAGTCTTTATTTGTTGCGAATCTCTATTCTAGTACCTCTTTATTGTAAAGATGTTATAAATACACTTTCTACCAGCTGTAAACCCATTTTGCTCCTCTTCTGTATTAAACTACCTTTCAATCCCTGTTTTAAAATTCGCCTTTAGTCTTCCTGTAGATGAAATTATATTTATATCTCTATAATTTTTACACTCTGATTTTAATCCTGTTTTGTGAATTCATTGCATTCCCTAGGCATCTTTTCTCCTCTCACACACTTATTAAAAATTAATTGTAGTATTTCTATTACTTTGGCTGAAGCATTTTTAAATAGTTCAATAGGAATACGTCCAGGGCCAGGAGATTTACCAATTTTCATCTTTTTGATGGAGTTCTTTATCTTATGTAAACTTATTTTTCTAATGTCATAAGCAGACATGACATTCAGTTTTCTGTTAATTTCTTTCAGTGTTTCCTTGAATTTGTGTCTATTCTCTTTGAACATATCTGAGTAATATTTAACCCATTTGTCCGTTTTTATTAGTAAATTAGTTTGTGTTTTATTATGTTATTTTAAGCTTTTAAAAACTTTCCATGATTCTTTACTCTGTGTTGCATCTATGATTCCTTCCTCTTCTGTACATTTTTATTCCACCATTCTTCTTTTGATGTGTTTACCAGTTTTTTCTCCTCTCTATTCAAAATCACATATTCTTTCCTGTTGTCCAGATTTTGAGTTGCCAGCCATTTTTCATATCTTTTCTTGTTTATCTTAGTTTCTATTTCAAATTACCACATCATTTGTCCCATCAGGTTCTACTCTTAATTTATTTGCCAATCTTCACATATATTGAAAGTTGATGGAGTTGTCTTTGAATAGTTTTAACTGTTATTTGGGGTAAGTTATTCTTCCTGCTTCTTTTTTGTTATAATTGTTTTTGGCACCTGCTTTCTAAAGGAAAAACTCACTGTACCCTTCAGTAAATAGTGATCTGAGCCACATTCCACAGTTCAAAAGTCTTACATCCTATGTTTTAAACACTAGTTGATGTTATTCAGTTTTGTCTGGTTATTTATTTATACAGTCAACTCTCATTATATTGAACATATGGGGGACTTAACATCACTTGACTTGACATCCGATAATGTCAAAATTAAATAGAATTTCTCCACAATGATTGATTTTATTAACATAGAGATACAGCAAAATACAAATGAAAATTTCAATATTTTTATTTGACCTTAAAAATTCAATTACTTTCATTTGTTTGCTTCATACATTTTTCATTAGTAATTTATCTACATCTTTCTCCAGAATTCATGCTCTCTGGATACTTTGTTCTGCTATGGCAATGCAGTTTTGACATGAAGTTCATTGACTTGATGAGTTTGGAATGCCGTAATCAATACACGATGCAGTACATTCAGTCATGTACAGTACATTTAAATGTCTATACTGCCAGGGAGGGGCAATGTAGGTCAACGTTCAAGAAAAGTTACGTGCGTAATATTAGTGTCAAAACATGGTGTGGAGATATTTTCCTTTAACCCAGTCCATCATTGTCAGTTGTAGTCAGTCAATGCCTTTCATTCTTTTGACCAGGAACTCAGCACCAGTATATCCCCAAGATTTTTAGACGGTCACCCACCAATGTCTCGAGTACCTCAGCCCAGTGACATCATAGAGCATCATTAAGCAATCTGGCTGGTGACATCGGTATAACTAGTAGAGACAAAAGTATTCAGCGCATGAATGAAATGTTGAATGACAAGGTGACCGTAGGAGCAGTCCTGCATTTTGAAAGGAGTATACCCCAGACACTTTGTAACAAATTGCATATATTTTTTTTTTAAACAAATTAATGGAAATTTACAAGTTAATACTCTTGGAAACATTCTCAATATGCAAGGCAGCCGCTCAACATATCATCCCGTGTTTCATTTACTTTGCAGCACTTATCATGGCCATGACTTTTTTGAAGTTAAGTAATATACAGTGAAAGTAAGTTCTAGTTTAAATGCACAAGTGCTGAAAATTATATTTAAATAGCAAAAAATGTTTGGTTGAAGTACAAATATGTCAACTATAACAATCTATTGCTTTATCTTAATTCTTATTTTGTTTTGCTTACAATAAAAACATCTTTAATCAATGAAAATTATCTGACATCAATGACCAAAAAATTTGACAGACTAAAATCCCCTGATATGTAAAAAACTATTTCTATCAGAATTTGCTGTTTTCATGTTCCTCATAACAGGATTTTTCACTGTGTAATGATTAGGAGTAAATGAGCACATTAATGAAACTGTACACAGAAAGTAGCAGCTCTACTTCTCTCATTCTCGTTTTCTCTCATTCTGGAGACTGAGCATCAGCAATCAAGACATTTTATTTAAATCCAATGCCAATATTAATTTTACTATGAAAATATAATAAAATAGCAAAAATTCCCAGACAATTTCATGAAAATTTTGAAGGTGTAACCAATGCAATACAATTTCAAAATTTTCCAGGTGTAACCAATTCCCTAATTGTTGACAATGTTGTATTGAATGCAATGCTTGTACTCTACCTATGTTTTGTGGCCTTGACTAATTTTTGAGTTTCTTCCAACATATTAATAATTCCCTTATACCTTTTGGCGAGCATAAATATTTTCTTACCTCTTCTAGTTTCTTAAATTGATCTGTTCTAGATAAACTGAACTCAGTGGCATCTCCAACAGACTGTGTTGGGGATTCAACATTTCCTGTTGGAGATGATGTAACAATCATACCATCTCCCAATCTGCTCTGAACATATGTTGTGGCATTTTGCCATGCATCTTCTGATTTGGTGTCAACTGCACCAGGTTCTAGAACATGATAAAATATTCAAGACACAAACATTACTATGCCTGAACAACCTTCACACATTTAGTAAAGCTTGATGTGATGTAACTTGAACAGAAGAGAGCAGAAAGGACTTCCAGTTCCAAAAGACTGGCAAGTGTGAATCGTTAGTGTGATGAATTAGTGAAAAGTAGTGAATAAAAAAAGCCCAAACAAATCAAAGTAGTACATTATGAATAATAGAAGACACAAACAAGGTGATGAGAAAATAAGAACATTTACGACTAAGGAAATAAGAGAGTTACAACTGAAAATTAAGTGAATTCAATAACACGTAGAACACTGAATACAGAAGACTCGCGAAATGCGACAAGCAAAAAAACAATACATAATTGAAGCATCAAGTGCTGCAGGAAATGCAAAAAAAATATTTCATACTCAATGCATTAGCATTGCGAGGGGGAAAAAAGAAGAAAAGAACAAAAAACTAGACTCAACTCAAATGGCTATGTCAAGAGAGTAAAAACCGTATTCACGGGAAGAAAGAAATGGAAGAACTGACAAAACAAATAATGGGGCTACAAAAAACGGTGACACACCTGAAAACAAACCTCAAATTCTGGATTAGTCATGAAATAAAAAATGTTATAAGAAACAACCCAAATAGTTCTAAAACAGGTGAGAAACGAGGAGGAGATGAAAATAATGATAACACAAAGAAGAGAAACAGTCATATGGGAATGCAAAAAAGCAAACAGCAAAAAGAAAATGACTCTTAGATGAAGACAAGGAGGAAAGCACGAAAACCAAGGAAAACAACGCAGAACAGAAAAACACCAATGACGGGGGAAAGATATTTGGTGGTATCAAACATGCGAACAATAACAAGACGACAGGATCTACAAGACCGAGAGGAACCAGGACCAGGAAAAGAAGAAACACACCAAAAGAACAAAGGAAGCAGAGAAACTGCAAGCGCCAATAAAGAAAGAAAAGTACAACAGAAACCACAACAAACAATACAGAAGGAAACAAACCTAGAGAATAAAGCATACAGAAGAGAAAACTCAAAAATAATTGTGGGCACCAACAAAGAAGAAGGAATCTTACATTTGGGAATAAAATACCAGTGGATTAATGACAGTAAACTAGCTAGTGAAACCACAGCAGATGATGTAGATGATAGATCACAACAGATACATATATGTATGTACAAAATTCTTTATATATAAATAAATATTACCTGCATCACTATCTTCCCCATTACTACCATCTTTTGAGGCTGAATGTTTACATTTCTTGGAACTTCCTTCTCCATCAGATGTATCTTTCCTCTTGCGACGCTTATAAGGTGTGAATAAGCGTATAGGCCCGGTCTACAAGAAAACAATTGTTGTCAGCACACAATGTAATCTGATATCACACTAGCATAATGTTTAAAAAATTATACAATACCAGTTGAAATAGGAGGGAACAATTTTTTATCAACCTTCACAGAATCATTTTTAAAAAATTATTAATAGGTGAAAGTAAATTCTTCATAAAGCTACATGGCACATTCATGTCTTTACAGTGATTTATTGAAAATCTTCATGTATGGAAATACAATACCTTCAATTTTGCTATTACCAAGAAATGTACATACTAGTGGTGATAAAACAGGACATGACTTTTCTTTTATTATTGTTAATAATTACAAAACCCTGCTGAGTTGCAACCCATTGGACAAATACTTTTAGTAGGCCTGTATATTAAATCATGTACAGCAATTAAACTTCACAATATTTTTGTTCAATTTTTTTGCAAAGTATATTTTTAATTCAACTTGTGAAAGGAATCAAGTAAATTAGTCATAAGCATTCAATTCCATATTTTTCAATAAATAAATTGAGGATCACATGATTTAATTCATTTGATTCAATATTAATTTTCTTAGTAATAAATCCATACATCATAAATATTGTGACAGCAAATATCCAAAACTCGCTAATTCATTGATAAATCAGTCAATCATTATCCAAAATGGGTGGATAGATAGGAAAAAGTAGGAACAGTTTTGAAGAATACGTTAGACTTTTGCTGGATGAACTTGATATTAGTCAACAAGAAGTAGCTAATGTAGATGAATTACATTAGTGAGAAAGAATAGCATAAATTATGTGATAAACGGTTCAGACTGCTTTTAAGGTCAGTGAAAAACAAGGTGTGTAGTTTCAAGGTCCTCTGTGCGAGTCATGCATTTCTAATTACATGATACCAACTAAACAAATCTAACTTCACTATATACTTCAGCTGCCATGTTTTTACACATTTACATGTTGGCAATGAGGCTTCATTCTTCAGCCTTTATGCTTAAGATGCTTATGCTAAAGAACCATGAGCCTGTGCAACACATAATTTCCAATGGATTTTTATGCCAAAAAACTTCTTGTAGGCACACAAAACACCTATTGGACTATCTCCTTTCTTAAGGCAGCGCTCAGTCACAACTAATATCAGCCAGGTGGAGATCAAAATAATTTATTCATCAGTCATGCAGCTTTATCCAAATGATTTTGCTAATGTGTAAATCCACCGGCTGCAGCTAACATTAGCGATGTGGTTTACTGACGAGGCATCTCCTCACCTAAATGCTGATCTAACAAAGTGCCCAAAAAGTTACAGCAACTGGAAACAAATTTTCTGTAGCAGAAGGAAAACAAGCTCCGCACGGGAGTTAAGAGGAACGTGGCCCTGGACTATAGTTGTAACATGTACATTGTACACAATACACCCACACAAATATTCACACTGTGCTTCAATGAGGAAGACAACCTCCATGTATTGGAAACTACATTTGTTTTTCTTCTAATACCCCCCACTAATTTCAAATCCCAATAATGTATAAATAAATGGTATGGTAAAAAAGGAAATGTATTCAAGGTTCACAAGAACAGAAAACAAGATCAATGAATACAATTAAAAAGCACAGCTCTAGATATCCTTTACCATATTTTTGGTAAAAATAAAAAAACACTAACACTACTAACACATACATACTAACATATTTGCCTTAACTATTTTTATGTTAATTTTGATGTGAGTTTTGTGATAAATGACTGTACTAAGAAGATATTTCTTCTTTACACTGTGATGGAGAATGTTGGATTGAAATTTTTTTCCCTCATTTCTCAGAATGACTTCGATGTGGCCTAGGACTATCTAGAGCCGAGTCCTTCAATTGTGTATAATATTGGTGACATACTTACAGCACTATCATCATCACAACAAGCTGAGCACGTACAACTTGTAGCATGTGGAGTTAAAATACCTTCATCTATTAGTGTTTGCAGACTGCGACCACCAAATCTAAATTACAGGAAACAACAAAAATTACTTCCTATCATTTCAATAATATTTGTGTGTGTGTGTTTAACATAAGCAAAGAGATTCAGAATTTCTTACAAACTTTAGTAAATACCAAAACTGACAACTAACATAATACTGGTGCTTTTATTAAATGAGAAAATTCAGAAATTGAGATCTCCCAAAGAACCATGAATCTTGTTAGCATGAAACCGTCACCCTTCCTCGACTTTTATATTAGCAGTATGTTTAACCTCTACGAAACTTTCCTTAACATAGCCCCTCCCCCTTGGGCAAGATTTTTTTCATTATATTACATCCATAACTTGTGGATCTGTCCAGAAGAATCTAAGAAATTTCTTTAAAATTGGTTTTGCCTTTTTTTTAGCGCTGTGATCTAGCGATGGCTACGCAAACCACATTGGTCACTGACGGAGCTGTGAAAACTGCTCAAGCAGTCAGTGGCACCCATGTGATGGTTGACAAAGGTCGCAATAGACTGTAACTCCAGTAAGCCGCTGTTTACAGAATATGGGGCATGGGTTGGATCACTCGAAAGGAAATTATCATTTGATAGGATAATTTTATGTGTAGCATAGAAGATAGTACTAACAAACCCTGTTGTAGGATCATTTTAATTACAAAATGATATTCTAATACAAATATATATGAATGGAGCTGTATGTTTTAAATTAGGAGCTAGCAAATGTATGAATTTTCTTTAATAAGTCACATGTTGGTGCACTGAAAGAAAGCACCCTTCAGAACAACTCATCTGGGAGGGTTCAAATCAGGTTCTTTATCACTTTATTTTGTGGTGGGTAGTGGAGCTACAAAAGAACATTCGAAAAGGAGAGTTGCAACTGTACATCTTTTAATATTTACTTTTAATTCTGAATAGATTATTTTTTACATACTAAACCTGAAGATGAAAGAACTACACAACAGGGTTTAAATTTTCTTTTCAACTTGAATAGCAAAATTTTTTAACATAATAAAATAATTTAAAAACAGTTTAAAGATACAGTGTTGACACATTCAGCTAGAAAATAATGTAGAAAATGTATTGTAATGTTGCAGGTAAAAGTGTCAACTTTTCAACAGCAAAAATCATGTGATACTAATATCATAAAAGTGAATTTTTCTTGTTTCTATTATGTAGTAAACTACTTCCTTAAATCCATAGAACAGTCATAATCCACATTTGGTGGGTTCTTGACATTGAGAAAGCAGTTTCCACAGAATGTCTGTCTGTGGTCAACACTAGTGCAAAAATCGTTCATAGGATTTTCTCAAAAAATCATACTTCCCAATCAATTTAGCCATACTCAAGGTCCTGGGAATTTGAAACAAGTCTCTTCATTTTATGGAACATTACATGACATTTTCAAAAATTACTCCCAATTTTTTTGCTATAATACATCATAGTACTGTTGAAAAAATGTGCACTGATCTTCCCTAAACACTTCTGAATTTTTAAAAATTGCAAAAGTTTCAAGTTTTTGATTACCTCATATCACTATGTTATTGAGGGTGGCAATATTATTATGGAATGTAATTTGATCTTCAAAAATACAATGCATATACAAGTAGTTTTTACACAATTCTGAGCAAATTAGGAGCAATAAATTTTAATAAAACACAAGATTTTCTCAAAAATGTCACAAGTTTTTCTTGTTCTATGAAGTTCTTGAAAATTTAGCCTGTACCCTTGAAGTAATAATCTTTCAATAAGAAAATATTGATTTTGTTTTCTTCAATTCTTTCTTTTCTACAATTGTTTCAGCTGTTCTCATCACAGACATGAAATTCTGCAACCAAACATAGTGATGAACTGAGGCAATACATAGCTTGAATTGAAAACTCAGAAGAGCATCCTTTTTGCCATGATCCAATAAGAACAAGAACAAATTTATTTCCTATCTAAATGATCATTTAAATATTGTGGCCTCATTCACTTCACTTTCTCAGCAGTTTCCCTAATTACTTGAAATAGATTTTTGAGGGTGATTTTACTATTCCTACATTTCATGTCTTATTTCTAGCTCTTTTTATCTTCCAGCCAAGAAAGCACAGTTGCAACAAAGGTGAACATGCACTTCATATACGATACACCTTAAATAGAGTTTCTAGCAAAATTCATATACACAATTTCCTATTTTTTTTCTTCGGTAAATTTCAGTTATTAAAAAAAAAATCTGAGATTGAAATTTATGAAAATAATTGAATGTCAAAATAATAATATTAAACATTGATCAGTCTTGAGATTCATCTAACCCATAAGTTCAATAAAGTGAAATAATTTTTATTAAAAATGATATGTGCAAAAACCTATAAACATATTTTTCATTTTCCTAATTTAATGGTAAAATATTCGAAAAGATCATGCCTTAATTTTTAGACATTTTTGAAAATTAAAACAAAAATTAAAAAATCCCCATATCAGTAAATTATTCCCAGAGATTTCCTGTTTTAACTAGGACTGAAAAAAAAACTGATTAAAGTGAGAACCTCGTTACAAAAATGATGAATTAGTTTTATAATGCCAAAAATGGATAGATAACAACTCCTTATTCTACCATGGATTATATCTGATAGATCAACTCAACCCTTTGAAAACGCAGGGTAGCCGGGGAGGGAACGTCAAAACTTCAAAAATAAACTCTTAATACAATTATAAGCATATTTTGTCAAATAAACTACTTGGATATTTCAAATGGCTAAGCTGCTATAAGCACTCCAAAGTCAGTTTGAAAAAATGCTTTCTAGGCAAAAATTTGCAATGCAATAGAAACACTTCAGATACTTGTAAATTGTTTATTATTTACAAAAGAAATGAATATATTTGTTCAGAAAGAAAAATTAACACAGAAATAAAAAAGCACCCAATTTACATACTTTGACTGCTTTTTTTATTTCTCGGTTAATTTTTTTCTTCTAAAGATATATCTGGTAATGATATCATTCACCTCAAAGCTAAAAGAGGAACAACAAATGTGCAACAATTATCCGTCTGAAGCAGAGTTCAAGATTTTTGGAAATACATTAGGAATAAATTAAATATCTAATGGCACAAAACATGACAAAATCAAAAAACCAGCTAACTTTGTAAAAATATATCTAGCTTCTCAGGACTTATAACAAATCCCTTAATCACCAAGAACAAGTTGTAATCATTCCTCTGTCAAGAATTAGATCAAATCATTCTTAATTCTTTCAAAGTTATAATAGAGAAAGTTTCAAAACCCATCTATAACGTATGTAATACTGTATCTTTCACAACTGCAAAATATTATATCATCACTACTTTATTAAGTCAAAAGTGATAACACATAGTAAAAATATTGATATTTTGAAAGATTTGTGATTGCATGTAATTATTGTAACAATGCCTCATGACCTTTGTTGTGTATGCAACTTAAAATATAATATTAAAAAAAATGTTGAAAACACTTCTGAAAATTCATTGTCTATTTTGAACAAATTAAACTACACAAACTAATTTCAATATAAGTTCATTTGAAGGATAAACAAAATATTGAGGCAATATTTTTATCTGTAGGGTGTTCTATTTTCCTAGTGAAACAAAATTATTCAGGAAAAGAAATGTTTTGCATTGATTTCACACACTTATTAAGGTCTTTACCTAATGCTTCTTTTCCAGTCTTTACTAGATGCCCTGCCACACAAAGCTTCAAACTCACTAGGTGTGTACCAGGAATCACCAAGCTTAATACATCTTCCTCGACCTCCTGACCCAAATCGACATTTATGAAGTTCAGCACTTGTATTCTGCAACAACATATACATATTTGATGTAAATTGATTTATCTGCTTTATATTAAATTGCTTGACTAAGGATTTATCACAAACAAATAATAATTTAATTCATCTAACATAAGTGAATCTCTAAAATTAAGTCATTATTTTTTCTGAAAGTGAAATAATTATCTGTTATTCATTTCAGGCTTATGCAGCAAGACGTAATACTTGAATATAAGATAAAATATACCATAAGTACAGCAAAATTCCCTCAAGTGAGAAAGGAAACTAGTAAGGCAATTCAAAAAAGGCTAGAAAGAAAGATGTTAAACATGGCTAATGATAACAAATCCCAACAATAAATACATTTTATTTCATTATGGATTTATAGAGGATGATCGTAGACGACTCTTCAAATTTTCATCGACTATGAATTTTAAAATAAATCATTAGGTAAAGAGAGCTTGATAGGCAAGACTTTAAATAATGGTCGCAAATTCAGTTTCACAAGATACTTTGCCTCAGTACAGTAAAGTTTCTATTCTTTAAGTCTTATAACAGTAAAGAAAGAATGTACATTTACACATTTCAGGCACATTACATAATTATGAAGGACGGCACTATTCTATTGGCCCCATTACTAAGTTTAATGTACTAGAGCTGAGTGTACTACATATGAAAGTCACTACGGTATTGCTAAAATGCATAGCCCTACAGTACCAACTTGATAGCCCTGCATCATTTACTAACATTATTTAAGAAATCAAACTATTGGGCATTAATCAAATAATGTATCACAAATAACACTATTTTATTCATTACAATCTTTGCTTTCTGTCTCTTCTACAATTAAAAAAAGTACACCTTGCAATACCTTGCACCTGACAGGAAGTACAGGCAAGTTAGCAGACTCAGTCCACGAATTGGGAAATGATTCACGCTGTCCAAGGGGTGTATTTGGTGTATTTGGCGCATTTTCATCAGTCTGGGGATCGCTTTGGATAACAATGTGTGTTGCTTTCAGTTCTCCGTTCTGAGAAAAAAGAAATTGATAAAATTCAGTTTCAATCAGAAAGGTGGAAGGTTTCAATTATGGAATATATCAAAACCTCTGGACAAAAAACAGTTCACACTAAATGTCAACTTTTACATCTTAATTATTTTTTCTTTCTTTTTTTGATAGTGTAATATGAAAATGTTTGTCATTAATTTCAAATTTAAAGTATTGTGAGCCCTATTCTAAGCCTTTAGATAAATATGATCTACCATTCTATTCACATGCACATACTTGAGTTCTCACCCAGGTCCGTAGTTCAGTGTCTTTATCTTGCCGGGTGTCACATATAAAACTGTTGTCCACGCACAGTACAGGCTTAAATTGTGCAGTGCCTGGCAACTGAAAAGTAGAATAAAAAAAGCTGAAGTAAAATTTAATAATAAAAATTACTGCACAAACAGTATGTCTTCAAAACTTAACATATTTTGTAAGATTTGTGTAAATCAATTAGCCTACTTATTGATAGTTTAATACATGAAGTGGATATTCCTTTACACCTTCAAAATAAAATACTTGAGTATTTTATGTTGATTTTTGATACCTTCCATTTTGAACACAAAATAGAAGATACTATGGGGATGCAAAAGATAATATATTTTGCTTTGTGTTATATGCTGAGGGATGTCCGAACTTCTATGAAATAAGAATGGATTATCTTTCTTGTTAGGGAATCGGTAAGGGTGAAGTCAAAACAAACCTGCAACTGATCAGGCGTGATAACATTAAATGTTGTTCCTGAACTTGCAACACCAATAAGAGATCCTACAGGGAGAGTGACAGGGACAGAAGCAACAGGAACAGCGACAGATGTAACGGTTTGATGTGCCTCCGAAGTGAGAACACCATGTTCCTCGGATTCATTCGTTAAAGGTTCGGAAATGTCCGGCATTACGACAGTTTCCGATGTTCGGTCCTCTTCCATTTCGGTAAAATGGCGCGAATCCACCTCGCCGGTCATAAAACACAGATTTAGCACAAATCACAAAGATATCGGAAAGCACTTTCACAAATCTGCAAATTTAGAATATATGTGTACAAATAACAGATGCACTAAATAATTATTTTCTTCTATAATGGCTACGAATGCTTATGCGCACCGCCTAAAGAGAGCATCATTGTAGATTGCATTCTCACGCTATCTATCCAATGTCAAATTGAACCACACAGAACAAGCGGCGGAGTCAAATAACCGGACAATCTTTCTTGTTGATTTATTAATTGAGGCGCTATCAGTGGGTCCCAACCGACGTTCTTTTCGAGAAAAATTACTTTCTGTTTTCGTACGCATTCATTTTCATTACGGAAAAAATGTTGAAAGTGTAATTTCAGGTTTTTACTATATCCCAATCCGATATTTCTGCACATGAGAAGTACACAGGGCAGGAGTTAACAATCATACTTCTAATTGAAAATAGGTCGGTTGGGATCTACCATTATTATCCTCAGCGCCAAAATTCAGTCAAATATGAAGGCACATTCAACCTAATGCGTAATGCTTTGAAAAACGTGCTTTCAATCATGTAAACTTCCCGCATTTTATGCCATTATATTAAAAACAATGATTGTAAAATCCATGAAAAAAAGTAATAATAATAATAATAATAATAATAATAATAATAATAATAATAATAATAATAAATGGCAAAAATGCAACAGTTATCAATAAAATTAACGTGGATAGATTTATTCTTTGGATAATATTTATGTGCAAATTCGTTAATTCTATGTTAAATAATGGAGAGTGTCCATTCAAATGAAACTATTTCGATATTACCAATTTTTTAAAGAAACGAAAAAATGTAATATAATGTTCATGAAAAGTAAAAATTAAATTTTTTAAAAGTTTAAAAATTATATTGTGATTCCATTTACACTTATGAGCGTTGTATAAATATTTTGAAATATAAAATAATAAAAATAGAAAATATTAAAAATAGAAATAACCCTTATCGCTCAGACATCTGAAATCCTTTCTCTGAAATAAGCTGCATCAGGTTTGGATTAAAACACATTTGAAAATCCCCATTTCCGGTAATGTTCTTCTAATTGATTTTCAAGTCATTTTTTCATGTCTCTATTATTGTTTTGATGTAATTATTTTGTATTAATGTTGTAGTTTGTAAAAATGTTGGAAAAATTTGAAGAAAAATTTGGAGCCATTTTTGGGAAAATTCGAAATTCGGAGCTCGATTTCGCGGAAAACTGTTGAGTTTTCGGAAAACTTAATCTAACATTTTTAATAATAAATACATTAAGGTAAAGAAAGTACCGCCAATGAAAATATTAACAACATGAGAGACAAGTGAAAAAAAAAATTTTTTTGTAATTTTTGAAAAACCAAAAGAATAGAGCAATTTTAATAGAACAATAGGGCGTTTATATCATCCTATAGAGTGAATTTACCAAAAGTTCAAAGAAAAAATTGGAGCCGTTCTTGAAAAAATCTTGTTTTTGGGATTTTTTAAATTGCACTCATGAACACTTTCAAAATTTTTTAAAAAACGATTCCAAATTTTCTTTAAATTTCCTGTAAGGATAGAGTAACATAGACTTATTAAAGTGGTATAGGTTCGATTTTCAAGGTTAACTCTGAATTTTCGAAAATTTCAAATGTATGAACTTTTTTCGGCGTCTTCCTACAACTACAAAATTAAAGATAAAGATTTATCCTATAAATAAAATTTGTTCTCATAATGAGTACTTTCATTAAGTTCATGTACATGTTAAAAAATGTTAGTAGTTTTCGCTCAATATTGCGTGCAATTATACAAAATTTATTTTTAAAATCGGTTGTATTTATTTATAATAACCATCTATTATACACCGTGGCCACTTTGCCCACTCACTGCACATTACACGTGGTATGTGGAAACCAGCAATTGCATTGTGATTTTGATTGTAAATGAATCGGAGAAAACAAAAACTTTCGATATCCTGGAGCATTAAAATTTTGAAGAGCAAGCAAAAAGGTTTTGAAGAGCAAGCAAAAAGTTCTAAACATTGATCATTTTTTTCTTAACATTAAATAGTTGAAAGACACTACAGACGTCACAGAGAGCACGAAGAACGAACTTTTGTGCATAGAAAGAGGAATTTATATTTCAAAAACGGTTTCCCGCCGTTAACCCCAAACCGACAAAATGTGTCACTGAACCGTTTTGTTTGATCTAATTCAAATTTCACTTCCTTTCATCCCCCTGCTGGGGGTGTCATACCCCCCACAGTATTATTTCCCTTATTGTCATTCCCTAGTAATAAAGTATACCAAGTTTTGTTGAAATAATAATAATACTTGTTACAGGTTCATTATAATTATACTATCCAAATTGTATATAATACAATAAATGTCATTGTTATAATTAATATTACTTTCCTTTTGGATGATCGGGTTAGTCTCTAATTGTATAGAAACAGTTGTGCAGCAGAAAAAAATTTACTTGGGACTTAAACTTTTGTATCTTCCAGCGTAAGTTCATTCGGAAATAAGGATGGATTAAATTTTTACGCAATAATGGCCGCTAAACGCGTAGCCTTAACTAGTTCGTTGTTAAATACGGAATCAATGTTGGCCAACGTTGCTTCATACACAGTCGTTTGGCGTATTTTGTTTTTCTTTCGTTGCCTCTTGTAAGACTCTGCAGGAACTTCCCGTCATGTTTTGAATACAATATTTCACATTTTGCCTGGAATTGGTTTTATTGCATTGGTTTTAGTTTAGTGACTCTTATTGATGAACAAAACTGTTTTGGGAAAACAATAATTTTGAGATGCTGGTGTTGCCGTTTAAAAAAAATAAATTAATGACCGAAAGTTCGTTGGTGCAGGTTAAGGATAGATAAATGATTGCAGAAAAGAGCACGAGTTTGTTGACCAATGAAATCTGACGAATGTCATGAGAAAAGATGTGAATTCGGTGAAATAAATAAACTGTCTGTGTTCCTAGTAAGTTTATGAATAATAACCACACATAATGCATTTAATACGCTTTTTTTAATTTTTCAATGTTTCATTTGTGAAAATTTTAAAAAATTTTGTCTCTAAATCGAAATAATATAATAATCCTAAAAAAACACCATTCTAAGAACTTAAAATTGTTTTTTTTTTTAAATCTGTATTCATCTCACAAACAACTTATATAATTTACTTACTTGCAGAATGTATCTAAAAAATTTTGACACTTTAAGAGCCACATTATTTTCCCAATTCTTTGAATATATGTATGTTTCGCTTAAAGCATTTCCCAATCATCCGTAATTTAAATTAATTATTCCCCCCTTTTCAATTTAATTTTTTTTAACAGAATGGTATTTTTCAAATATAGTTTACATTTTATTCTTTAATATTGTGGGTAATATTATTTACCTTCAAATTATGTGCTGGCATCTTGCCATATATAATTATTGCAAATAAAGTTAAAATACAAGTAAATATAATAAAAAAAGGAGAAGTTAATACTAACTTAATTGGAGAATGTTTATATGATTGTCGAACAATAATTGTTAGAGAAGAAAAAATCGTCCATTCAACTTAATTACCAATTAAAAACAGCAGTTTCCAATTCCATTTTACTCATATGCCATTAGGAACACTTAATTCTGATATAAGGATAGAACATTATTTAAATTTTTGTGCTGTATAATTGGACAATGTACTGCTTGTGATCTAATTTATATTGAATTTATTACTATTTGATTTAATCCCACTTATATGAATTAGAATTTAAAAAGTTAAATTGTTCAAAGCAAGCTCATGTCAAGTTGAATTTTCCCTTTCTCACCAAAAAATTAATTATTTTTCATTTTTTTGTTAACATACAACTAATTGAAAATATGTGTAAACAATAGTGAGTGAATGAAATTAGTTTCTGAACCATATTAGAATATTTATTTTCTCAAGAATATCTGTTTTTATTAATACATTTTTTGAAACGGCATTA